TTCCATTATTGGTGATGCAGCATCAAAAGATGGGTTGCAAGTCCATGGTGTGTCTCCATTTGACATTATGGGCAGAAATCTTTTCTGGGAAAAGCAACTGCAAAGGCTGCAAATGGGAGCTGTCACAAGAAAGTTCTTGGTGGTTAATTTCAGTTCTGGTTTTGATGAATCTTCATATCTCTCTCGGGTTGAAAATTTTGAGGAGATGTCACAAGAAAATTATGGAGAGGCTACAGGAAACAAGAACTCACTCACTCAGTTCAAGCGAGCTGCCATACCTGGAAGGATTATAATGATTTCAAAGTCAAGTTCTACAATTCCATTTTTAAGCCTTGAGGACAAGGCTAATTTTCAAGGGGGAAGTATTGTTATGACCCAAATTATTACTGAGGTTTTATGCTTTATTACTGTGAGGAATTGTTAATATGCCAGCTGGCATTTAAAAGTGTAGAGGTTTTATAAAAGGAGCCCCAGCTCCCCCAAATGTATCAGATCAGAATTTTACAAAAGAAATCAATATTGGAGCTCTGCTCCTTCTTCTCTCATTCCCTCTTCTTCCATAGCTTTCTTGTGCCACTTGCAGGTTGATTAAGGGAATTGAGAATTAGATCTTATCATAACGTCACTACCACAACTCCCAATATCATCACGCTGAATGTCCACACTCGGTTTCTGCTCAATTAAAGCGTCAATTTCCTGCAAAATACTCTCATCGAAATCATCATCGTTAAGAATTCCAGATGCAGAGAAAGAATCAAATGAAGTCAGAAACTGCGGTTGTCTGATTGGAGTTGTGAAAGAATCCGATTTTGACACGCTTGATTCGGTCCGGCTAACGCTTAAGCTCCCGGAACACGAAGCACTGCCATATTCACCACGCGCTGAATTGTACCGGCTTGCGGAAATCGGAAGCGGTGTTCTTTGAACTCTATTGAGCTGAGTTGGCGTTTGGATTCCATTTCCGCCAAAAAACACAATTGAATTGATTTAAATTGAAGCAAGAAAACAGCCAAGTAGCCAAAAAATAGTAAGAAGATGAAACCTTTGATTCCTGAACGACTTACTTGGTATGAGGGAGGTGATGATCAGGTGAAACGGCGTCGTTGCAGGGGCGTTTGCGATCAATGAGGGCCTTGGCGGCTCTGAAATTCCGAGAGATGCGGTTTCTTTGTTCCGCCGTGAGCCCTCCGCCGTACGCCTGAACGTTTTCCTTGGACATTGCTTCCAAGATTCCAACGGAGGATTTGGCCTGACGGCCTGACCAGGCTGATAACAGTGTAAAACCTTAGGAGCTAAGGAAAAACTAAGAGAGAGATTGTAGAGAGGGAAAGTTTTTTCTTTTTGGAAACCAGTAGAGAGGGAAAGTTTGTTAAACCTGAATAATATTCTTTTCATTCAACTTGTCTACAATAATTACCACTCGTGGTATTTATACATTTGTAACACACCTCACTAACTAACTAAGACCACCACCAATCATACATAAACACTTGTCATAATCCTATGCACTCATAGTATCATCACTTTAACATTCCCCTCAAGCTCATGTGGCAGATTGCCAAGCATGAGATTGGAACAATTACGAGCGAACTGGGGTGAACACAAGCCTTTGGTGAACATGTCGGCATATTGATCTGCAGAGGTAACAAACTACAAAATAATTGTCCTTTGATGAACTCTTTCACGAACAAAGTGGCAATCAATCTCTATATGTTTGGCTTTATAGTGCAATACAGGATTAGTGGCAAGAGCCATTGTTGAAATGTTATCACAATGCAAAACTAGAACAGAAGGAGAACCAACATGCAAATCTCGAAGAAGCTGTTGTATCCAGATAACCTTAGCAGTGGTTGTAGCCATTGCTCTATATTTAGCTTCAGTGGAAGACCTACTCACTGTATGCTGCTTTTTAGAACTCCAAGAGATAGGAGTATCTCCCAAAAAAATGACAAAACCCGTGGTTGAACGACAATCATTGGGATCCCCTACCCAATCAGCATCTGTATAAGCTTTCAACTGAGATGAACCTGATTTAAAACATAATCCCAAAGATATAGTGCCTCTGCGATATCGTAGAATACGTTTCACAGCAGCAAATGAGTGGCTAAGGGTGAATGCATAAACTGACGTACTTGATTGACAGAAAAATAAATATATGGTCTTGTAAATGTTACGTATTGCAGTGCCCCAACAATACTTTTGTAAGTGGTAGGATCAAAAACAGGTTCACTACCATGATTCAGAAGCTTCTGATTAGGATGACAAGGTGTGGAAAAAAGGTTTACAGTCTAGCATATGCATCTTTTAAAGGAGTTCTTTGACATACTTGGTCTGATGAACAAAGAGTCCCTGACCCTGATACTCAATCTGTAAACCAAGAAAATAATGCAACACACCTAGATCTTTCATGCCAAACTCACTAGTTAACTAACTAATAACCTTCTGAACCTTCACAGCATCATTACCAGTGAGAATGATATCATCAACATATAATAAGAGAACAATAATTGATGAACCATCACACTTGACAAATAAAGAAGGATCTGCATATGATGACTTGAACCCAAGCTTAGGCAAATAACCTGAAAACCTGTCATGCTAGGCTCTGGGAGCTTGCTTGAGACCATATAAAAACCTCTCTAGTTTGCACACATAATCTGGATAGGTAGAATCCACAAACCTTTGGGACTGAGACATATAAACTTCTTCATCAAGAAAGCCATGCAAAAAAGCATTATTGACATCTAACTGTTTGAGTTTCCAATTATGAGATGCAGCCAAGGATAAAACCAATCGAACTATGGTTGGTTTGACCACAGGGCTAAAGGTTTCATAATAGCTAATACCAACTTCTTGAGAATACCCATTAGCTACAATTCTAGCCTTGTACCTAGCCACTGAACCATCTGGATTTCTCTTAATCTTGTAAATCCATTTACAACCAACAAGATTTTTGTCAGGTGCTAAGGGCACAAGCTTCCAAGTATGAAGCATCCATCTCTTCTTTCATGGCATTTTGCCATTGAACACACTTGACTGCACTAGAAAAAGACCGAGGTCCAATAAATGGAAATGTGGAAGAAACACTAGGTGGATGAATGAATGTGTTTGAATGCACAACAGACACTGGTGAGGAAGAATGACCAGAAGTAACTTGAGGATTGAAACCCAAAGCATTAGAGTCTATAGGAAACTTGGATTCATAAAAAATAACATGTCTAGATACTAATAGTTTATGATCTTTGAGAGAGAAGCAAATATACCCTTTGTATTGTGTAGCATACCCCAGAAAAATACACTTAGTAGTTTTAGGTTCAAGTTTATTGCTTCTATAGGGTTTCAATGAAGGATAGCATAAACACCCAAAAAATCTCAAATGATCAAGCTTAGGTGGAGATTTATATAGCATTTCAAAAGGAGACTGCATATGTAGGGTAGGTGTGGGCATTTTGTTTATAAGAAAAGTAGCAGTGGCACAGGCATGGAACTAGAATTTTGAAGGTAATGAAACTTGTTGTAAAAAGGTAATAGTTGTTTCGACAATATGTTGATTTTTTCTCTCAGCCAACCCATTATGTTATGGGGTATAAGGACAAGATTTTTTATGAACAATGCCTTTGGTAAGAAGAAATTGCTTAAACTGAGTACTAACATATTCCCTACCCCCATCACTCTGCAAAATTTTTACATGAGCATCAAAATAATTCGAGACAGAAGCAAGAAAGTTGACAAAAACAGTGAACACTGCAACTTTATTATTTAATGGAAAAATCTAGGTATATCTTGTACATTCATCAATAAAGGAAACATAATACTTGTAACCTTCTATAGACAAACTAGGTGAGGGACCCCAAACATCTATGTGAATTACTTCAAATGGAGTAAGTGACTTCGAAGCAATTACAGGAAAAAGGAGCTTGGTAAACTTGCCTTGCAAACAAGCATTACAAGTATGAGATTGAGAGTTACAAGGAAAAGATATACAAGACTTATTAAGTGCTGCAGTGACAGTGGAATGTGTAGGATGGCCTAATTGACAATGCCACAATGTAGAAGAAATCTTTTGACCCACAAATGCAACTGGATTAAAAACAGGAGAAATAGACCTCTGTGGTTTGATTATGGGAAGTGGATAGACAACATTATTACTCAGCCCTTGGAATAGCACTCTCCCGGTGACCTTGTCCTGTAGACAGAGAGAAACATCATCCATGATACAACGACACTGATTATCTTTGCACAACTGATTCATAGATAATAAGTGTTGTGACAGTTTTGGAACATGTAACACAGAGTTTAACTTGAAATTATGTGACTAAGTGAGAAGAGAAGAGGAACCAATATGTTTGACAGCTAAACCTTCACCACTAGCACTGGTCACAATATCATTTGATGGATAAATTTATTGTCATGTGCAAGTTTGACAAATCTGAGGTCATATGGTTAGTTGCTCCCAAGTCAAGAAACCAGAAATCTTGTTGAAGAGTTGAGGATGATGCACCAGCTCGTGCTTGCATAGCAAGAGGAGGATTTTGTGAGGATATAGTTAATAGATACATATGTGGTATGACAAGATACTGAAACTGTGAGCTATTAGACTGTGGAATCATGCCTTGTGAAGGACCACATGGATTCTAGCTAGGTGCTTCACCATATGACCCAGTAGGCATTGGAGTTGGCATAGATGAGGATAAACCCTAAGAGAAATGCTCTGATGTGCCTGTGAAATTTTTATTCTGATCAAAGCAAGTAGCAGCAACATGACAACCTCTGTGACAAATTTGACATCCATGTTGAAAACAATTCAATGCAGAATGACCTTTGCGATCACATATTTGCAGAATGGCCTTTGCAACCCTAGAAAGAAGGAGCGAAGAAGACCAAATGTGTACGTTTCTCTTTGGTTTTTTTTCCCTCCTAATCGCGCTGTTCGAAATCACGGACCTCGGGCCTGGGCCTAGTGGGCCCAATTATGAGGCCCATTATCTCCGGTCTTCTCGTTCTACTTCTAGTTACCCAAATTAAGAACGTACGCTTTTAGCGCGAGAGAGAAATGGAGGCCCTGATTGCCTCGTACGGAGACTCGTCGTCGGGCTCAGACTCCGAGTCGCCGGCTCCACCTCCACCACCACCTCCGGAGCTCAACAACCCTCAAGAACCGACCCCTGCGCTGCCTCCACCTCCTCTGTCACTTCTCGACAGCCCCAATTCCTTCGGTAACCTCTGATTCCCATCAATTTTCATCTTTTAGCTTTCTGTTGTGATGGCTTTTTCCGAGTTGCCCACCAAGTGTTTGATGTTTTGCCTCCGAAGAATTTCTGGACTTATCGGCAAGCGCCCAGCCGAGCAGAGTTCGGAACTTTCCTCACGTCGAAGGGAACTACGCAGTACATGTATACATCCCAGGTTATCAAAATTCTCGAAATTTTCAGCTCCATTAGCAAATGCGATCGCTTTGCACTTAGTTTTTGCTTGTTTAATTGTGTGGTTCCAGTTTATATACCACCAGCACCAAGGAAAGAGATGGCCTTGTTTTTGAACAAGCTAGCTTCTCTGCTGCCTGGTCTCCATGCGGTTGACGTTGACTTCCCGCTTGACATTCTGCGTAAGGACGAGCACAAGCTTGAACAAGTTGCTTTAGGCAGAGAGTTCCATATAAGTCTCGGAAGAACTGTTCCGATGCGGGTGCACCAGATTGATTCCTTGGTGACAATGCTGCGGCAGAAGCTTCAGATTCAGAGGCGGTATGGTTACATTTACATTCTCTTGTCTGCATTGCGTGAATTTAGTTCTGTTATTTAACATAATTCTGTAAGCCTGTTTTCGTATAAATGCACGGTTGAATCAGCTTTCATTGTCTACAAGTCTGAAATATTTTAACTTCCATTGATTTCAGATAACAAAGCAGATTCAAGCTGTGAATGAGGTGTATAAGCTTCACAATCTTCCTGAATTTTACAAGGTTAGCTTTTTCGTGCTTTTCAAACTCGAATCGGTTCCTGAATGTATGACAATATATTGGATCAAACGATTTCTCAAAACACTAATTCACTTGATGGGGTCTTGGTGATCACAGGATCCACGCCCTCACATCTCGGTAGCTTGAGCATTGGGTGACATCAGCAATTCCCTGAACAAAGTGGTTGAAGAAGAAAGACGAAGATCTACCATCGGAGGATCGTTACAGAAATGTATTTTTACCAGTAAATTCAATGGTATCGATATCGAATGTAGGATTGGTAATAAAACACACAAAATATGTAAATTTTCTGAAGAATAATGTAGCCATTTAACTGTATTGTGAAATTCCGAGAATATATGGCTGAGCATTGGATGAGAAGACATTTCTTCGTTGGTGTCGAACTTCTTGTCGAAGGTATTGGCACCAGTGTAAACGTCATCATCCATGTTGATGGTAATTACTTACCAGCTACTAAGGGTGTCGGAACAACCTTGCACGCACCCTCCTGTGCATTACTTGGTATTGTCTCGGATTCTCCAAACTTGAATGCTAATGTAAACCCACTCTTGACCTTTCCGTCATCTGCAATTACCGGAAAGCCGGCTTGGATGTTGCCGTTGACCTACCAAACTTAAAATACCGACGAAATGTTGGAGTACTTCAGTGTACTACTCGTTTTTGTATGCGAGAGCTCCACCTCTATCGTTGTAACAGCATCTGATGCGGACTAGTCCTTCATTCCCGTTACTCTTTGCCATCTCCACTTCAAACTTGGTGTGATGGCTCCCGGCCTCCTCTCCGGTGAAATTGAGTAACCCCGGAGCTGGCGTGCCATCAAGATTTCCGTTGTGTCTCTATTTGCTGTTGTGGTTCGGTTCCACTATAAACTTGGCAGAGTTAGCATTTTCATTCTGTTGTCTGTATATCTTGATATTACAAGTATTTGTTGTGCAAAATGCATGCTAAGTTCAAGTTATGTTTATATGTGTGTGTGTGTTGCCACTTTTCCAACGTTTTCTCCAAAATTGTGACGAGCAACAAAGCAGTTTTGATTCCGTGCACAACAACGATACCTCGAAAGAAATTGATTCTTCCCCAGAAAGATGTTTTAAAACAAAGTTGAACAAGGGAAGAAAACTTTTGAATCGCAATCAGATGTCTGGTCAAATTCTTTAACAGTTGATGTATACAGAAGTTCCTTGCTTATGACACGACTTATGAGAGGATGTATGTATTGCATTTGCATCAAAAGAAAGAAAGAAGGTTGTAAGTGGTAAGGGAACGACTACCGATGCCGCTCCACTTCTAATCAAAGGGATCGATCCGAGGGTCGTGTTCACTTGCCATCGCCATTCCAGTGCAAAGGCATGTCGGGCACATTACCTGCCACATTTACAGACGCAATGTTAGATATAGCTGCCATTTGGAAGTCATCTCTCAAAATTTTGCTACTAAATTAATCTTAAACTTCATTTCCAGTGCAATTTTTTTCTTCTGAATTGTCTTTCACATGCCCGACAAATAGAAGTATCACCAAACATGTGATATAGAGCATCTAAGCGGCAGGCACTAAAAGGAATTTAGTATGCAATAAACATTCAACGGACATAATTATATGTCTAACCTTTCCCGCTCCTGAGCAATTTGAACATCGTTCAGTTTTTGGCAGAGATAGGGGTTGGTTTCCGCCATCAGCTGTCGATACTGGTTCAGTAAGAACAAGGGTTCCAGTGCTGGAGCAACGAGCACAAGCAAGAGATCCTGCGTAAGTATCAAATACACAGGTAAGTTGACATACGAAACCAATCCGAACATCTCCATCGTATATATTTAAAGCTACAGTACATAAAACTAAAAGTCAGAAATATAGGACATTATCACACCAGTTCCAAGACAATATTTGCATCGTTTATGCTCCTGCTGTTTCACATTGTTTATTTCAACTACCATCAATGCTGAGATCACTCCGACTGCTCCTCCAGAGAATGACGCCACTATGGGATCAACTTGACTGCAGTTTGAAAGTAAAGGAGATCAATAAACGAAACTGGTAACAACATAGTATCAACATTATTTAGCTTCGTTTCAAGAAAGATGACATCCTAGGTTTTTCTAATGTGTAAAAATTGAGGATCCTCGTAAAATTTGACTATATCGGTTCCCAAAGCATTTGATTCCTACGTTACAGACGGAAAACAGCAACAATCGAATTTAAAGATTCATAACACGATAGATGGTACAAAATTTCAAAACGATAATTACTAGAGAACAGGAGGGTTAATAGCCTGAGATATGAGCAATACCTCAACTGCAACGGCAGATGCATATTTACTATAAAGTCTTTATATGATGTGCCTCCTATTCCCAGCTTCAACTCCAACTGAAAGATGTAAAGGTAATTGTAGGCAAAGAGTTACAAACATAACCGAATCCATGTTTTATAAGCAACAACTACACTTATTTTGATATGTTTCCTCATTTTTTACTTGCAAATTCCAAACCATATTGTCGGACCAGTAAAAGAAAATAATGTTTATGATAACTGTTAAAACTAATTACAACAAGTTAATGCATAAAGAACTTACGGAGGGTGCTATGAGGCCACCGAAAAGGATAAACCCCGCAATAATTGAATAACAAACAGCATAATACTGCTTAAGGTTGTCTGAACTCTGCAAGCAATGAATTCACCTTGTGATTAATACTTTGCACAAACACTAGTTTTCGCAATTTTTTATGAATCGACAAAAGGCTACAACAAAATATGGCTAAAACATGTCGGGGATATGAAAATACATGTCTTCACAGGGGCACCAGCTTACCAGGGGAGGCAAAAATGGAATGAACGATGGAAAACTAGGAAGTTCGTTTTCTTGATCTTCATTTACCGCTCCAAGCTCTGCACGTTTAATCCGCTGTTGTATCCTCAGCCTGCGAACCTACGCATATCGAAGCTCATTCTTAAAGAACACATTTCTAATGGCAATTGGAGAGTAATTTAAAACATGCTACACTGAGAAAGTGGTAGCAACTAGCAATTGCTCTCACCTCCTCCATATGCAAGAAAATTTTGTTGCGACGACTCCGAATATTATCTTGAATTTCCTGCAGCTCCATTGTGGCAAAATCCTGCACTGTTTCAGGCCCCTCTATGATACAAAATCTGCACCATTAAGCATGTAAAAATTAAAAATTACAAGCTACAAAGCAATTTCCGTATAGTTGTTGGGTTAAATAACATCAACAGCAAATAAATCACATAGGTTTTTCACATAAAGTTACAAACTTTCAAGGACTAATAAGCTGTCTGCAATCTCATAAATTTCACAGTGCAAAGTAACAATCCAAAGCTTGGAACTTTAAATTTCCACCTTCTGTTAATTTTTTAGTGCACCTGGTGTCGTTAGATTCGAGTAGTATGTCACATTAAATTTTTTTTTTCTGTGCATGCATTTTTTTTTAAAAGAAAATTTATATTGTTAAAGAGCGAGTTCGAAACTATTACATTATGGAAGGACATAGTACCGAAACTCCGACGATCAAAAACAAAATCATGTACAACCACTCCAAGCAGTCAACATGGCCATCACATATTGAATCCAAAATGTTGACGCCCCATTCGCTGCATATAATGTACAGACGAGCGGCAGCTTCAACCAGTTCTGCCATATCCGGCTGGATGAGAGCAGCTAAAGACATGATTGTTCCCTAATAACATGAATAAATTGAGTAAACACCAAAAGTAGCAGCAAGGGAAGGAGATGTGAAGTATATGAAGAGGTGTAAGACCTGTGAATGTCCAGCAACAAAGATTTTGGAGCTTGTTGTCGAATAATGCAACGCGTCATTTCTGGTAGATCAAATAGAGCCAATTCCCGCCAACTCCAATTCCAAAATTTCTACAGTAAAGCATAAATCTTATTCTCTCTTCTGATAAAGATGAGTGTCCCAGACTCCAACGTGTTCCACACACATTCCCTACCCATACATCGAAACCTTCATCTGCAAGGACGAATCCCAGCGATTCTTCTGGAGAATTTAAGAATCATGCATCACCTGGTTAAGATCAAGAAAAGCCAGTAACCAAGTTCAATTGAGTTAAAATGTATCCCATGGATGTTCATCACTTTGCCCAATTGTTCTTTTCAAGAAAGGAAATTTCAACAGAACCTGAAAACTTCAGATCAGGGGGCACCAAATAGTGAGCTATACATTCAAAATTTGAAATAATCAACTTAGTAGGACCAGTATGTTGAAAAAATAGGAAGGAGCTATGAAAGTAAGACTTTTCACTAATCAGGCGTCCAGAGAATCCATATTTTACCCGCGTATCAGTTACGGGGAACACTCCCCACCAGAGCAATCTCATTAGTCCTTCACATCTCAACCGTACAGAAGTTGCACTAACAAACATGACTCCTATTAGTCCTTCACATCTCAAATCCAGGAAGTACCCATCTTTCGTCTGAATCTGGAAAATAAGCAGCAGTCAATTTAACAATCTCGGTATCTCAAAGTTACTCACTTTAATCACAAATTTAGCAATTAAACATATAAATGGGCATTTTTTTAGGGAAATATTAGTATAGTACTCACTGTGTGCTCGGAGCAAGAGTACCCAGAAAGCTCAATGAGCTGCGCACAGAGGACTGCAGTGGTGAACGACAGCGACCGCACAGAGGACTGCAGTGGTGAACGACAGTGACCAATTCTGTAAAATTTAGTCGAGTTTTGGGAAATTTCTGCAGCGATTTCGGAGGTCAAGAGGCTGATAAGGAAAGCCGCGACCAAAGGGCACTGGTCTGGAAGAAAGGCTTTGGTCGCCGCTATCGCAATTCACGAAGGAAGAAGTGCCCCAAAACAATTTCGGCCCTGGACAGGTGCACTGTTTGCACTGAGCCAGGGCCGGCCCTGAATCGCGATAACGTCCTTCTCCAAACAGTATATATACAGATGCTAGAAAAATCTACCGGAACTATTCAATTCTAGCGTCTACAGCTTTAGCATTAGTTGGTACAAGGGGCATTCTTCCAAAGAGGGAGATGAAATCGTTGAGGCACCAAATAGTGAGCTATACATTCAAAATTTGAAATAACCTCTTGGTAGGACCAATATGTTGAAAAAATTGGAAGGAGCTATGAAAGTATGGCTTTTCACTAATCAGGCGTCCACAGAATCAATATTTTACTCACAGATCATTTACGGGGAACACTCCCCACCATAACAATCTTTTTAGTCCTTCACATCTCAAACCAAGTAGAAATTGCAGTAACAAACACGACTTCTATTAGTCCTTCACATCTCAAACCCAGTAAGTACCCATCTTTCGTCTGAATCTGGAAAACAAGCAGCAGTGGATTCAACAATCTGGGTATCTCAAAGTCACTCACTTTAATCACAAAATTAACAATTAAACATATAAATGGGCATTTATTTAGTGAAATATTAGTATAGTACTCACTGTGTGCTCGGAGCAAGAGTACCCAGAAAGCTCAATGAGCTGCGCACAGAGGGACTGCAGCGGTGACGACGGCAACCGATTCTGTAAAATTCAGTCGAGTTTTGGGCGATTTCTGCAGCGATTTCGGAGGTCAAGAGGCTGATAAGGAAAGCTGGGACGGAAGGGCACTGGTCTGGAAGAAAGGCTCAGGACACCGCTGTCCCGATTCGTGAAGGAAGAAGTGCCCCCAAAACAATTTCGGCTCTGGACAGGTGTACTGTTTGCACTGGACCAGGGTCGGCCCTGGCGATAACGTCCCCCAAACAGCACATATACAGATGCTAGAAATATATAAATGTAACCTGAAACTACTAGAACCATTCAATTCTAGCGTCTACAGCTTTAGCATTAGTTGGTACAAGGGACATTCTTCCAAAGAGGGAGATGAACTCATTGAGGCTCTTATTTATTCCTCCTCTTGATGTGCCCTTTTAGGCTGCTAATTCCACACGATCCAATCTCATACATCTTCCCTGCAAAAGCATGTGTGCCTGACTTCAAGATCAAATTTTTCCAACAAAAGAAACTTAAAGATCAAACTCGCTAGAGGAATAAGTGGTGCACAAGGGTGTTAAAATCTTGACATATGTATATTTTTGGCAGATTTTATGTGAGCATGCAACTAAAACTGGCATCACTATCAATGGTGCACAAAGATTGGTGGAAAACTTTAACAGTTTGAGTTGTAACTTCTCCATTGTATTTGTTAAGGCAAGACGGATGTCATCTATTCATTTTTCTGTAAAACTTAAAAGGCTGCATAGCAGCTCTTGTTCGTTGTATTGAATACCGTGGTTTTACTGATGAATGCAGAGTTTGCTGATGATTCATACGACAAGCAATTGAAAATCCCATCATTATGCCCCCCATATACCAGAAGAAAAAAAAGTCATTTACACAAATTCAGAGCGTTCATCCACTGTAATTTGCAGATATAGAAACGTTAAGATAAAAGGAAATGCAAAGTACCTTTCACCAAATTGGAGGAGCACCGGTGGCATTAGCAAGTTAGCAACGGGAATTGACATACCAATATCTTCACAGTTTCTGCACAAGCACAAATCAAAAGAATCCGGAGGTGGAGTTATGTACCTCTCCTTGGAAAATGCCACCTCTTGGGATTTCAAAATATGCGGCCGTGGCTAGCCGTCTGACCACGCCAATTCCACCAAAGCCGCCGCAACGCGGTGTAGTGTCCGATTGATTGCTTCAAATCAGAGCTTCGTATCCATGTGTTTATCAGCAGAGAGTACCCAAAACCCCTGAAAATTATTTCTTTATTCAGATAATAAAATATCCCAAATTTCGAATTTTAATTCCGAATCAAAAATAGGGTTTGAATTTTGATTACCTATAAATTGGGGGGTTGCGGTGGAAAGGGAGTCAGCCAAGACGGCGATATGCGTCCTCGAGAGGGCTATGAAAATACAAATTACAGAGCGTGTTGGGACGATGTACAAGGCTTTTGCAGTCTCTCAAATATAAATACCGAAGCTCCGTAAGGCGTTCAATCCAGGGGGAAAGCTCTTTAATAGATGTTCCATCCAGGAAAAGACTTCTTAATCCTTCCATATTTTCTTCAATGCTTGGAAACAACTCAAATTTTGTACAACCGGAAAGAGAGAGAGAGAAAAGGGACTTGAGCTGACAAATGCTGCTTGGAAGACTCTTAAGTTCTTTGCAATCTTTTAGATTCAAATGATTCAATCCCGTAAGATTATTAATTGACGAGGGCAGTTCTTTAATTTTTGACCCGGATAAATTAAGCTCTTCTAACTCCTCCATACCTTCTGAAATCTTTGGAAACATCTCAAGACTAGAGCAGCCAGAAAGATTAAAGGTTTTGAGAGATTTCATACGAATGCTGCTTGGAAGACTCTTAAGTTCCGTGCAATTATGTAGATTCAAATGACACAACCTCGTAAGATTATTAATTGACGAGGACAGTTCTTTAATTTTTGAGCAGGGTAAATCAAGCTTTTCTAACCCCTCAATACCTTCTGAAATCGATGGAAACATCTCAAGACTGAAGCAGCCATAAAGATTAAAGGTTTTCAGACATTTCATATGAATGCAGCTTGGAAGACTCTTAAGTTCCTTGCAATCTTTTAGGTTGAAATGACTCAACCCCGTGAGATTATTAATTGACAGGGACAGTTCTTTAATTTTTGACCCGGATAAATTAAGCTCTTCTAACTCCTCCATACCTTCTGAAATCTCTGGAAACATCTCAAGACTGGTGCAGTCAGAAAGATTAAAGGTTTTGAGAGATCTCATACGAATTTTGCTAGGTAGAATCTTAAGTTCCTTGCAATCTTTTAGGTTGAAATGACTCAACCCCGAGAGATTATTAATTGACAGGGGCAGTTCTTTAATTTTTGACCCAGATAAATTAAGCTCTTCTAACCCCTCCATACCTTCTGAAATCTCTGGAAACATCTCAAGACTGGAGCAGTCACAAAGATTAAAGGTTTTGAGAGATCTCATACAAATTTTGCTAGGTAGAATCTTAAGTTCCTTGCAATCTTTTAGGTTGAAATGACTCAACCCCGAGAGATTATTAATTGACAGGGGCAATTCTTTAATTTTTGACCCGGATAAATTAAGCTCTTCTAACTCCTCCATACCTTCTGAAATCTCTGGAAACATCTCAAGACTGGAGCAGTCAGAAAGATTCAAGGTTTTGAGAGATCTCATACAAATTTTGCTAGGTAGAATCTTAAGTTCATTGCACCCATGCAGATCCAATAAAACAAGGTTTGTAAGAGTCGAAATAGACGGGTGAACCTCAACTAAGCTTATACAACTTCGAACAATTAGCCTCTCAAGATTTGGCACATTTGTGAAGTCAGGGGTTTCCTTAAGGGATTGACAATAACTTAAATTGATGAATTTCAACTTTTCCTGCGTCTGTTCAAACATTCAGGAAAACATGCATTACTTAATAAGACATCTCACTCAAAGCCCAAACATTTAAAAGATACAAATACATGTAAATGATTGTACGTACCTGGGTTCCTTCCCAAAGTCGGTCAATGAGACTACATTGCATGTCAAGTTCAACAAGATTTTCGAATTGAAAGTTGGATGGCAAAGACTTGAGAGGGAAACCAAGCCAGGAGAGATACCTCAGGTTAAGCAACTTTAAGGACCCAAACAGGTGTTGTTTGCAGTACTCATCTTTAAAAACGAAGTGCCTATAACTGATCTCGAGAAGTCTTCGTTGAGCATTTAAGTTCCCATGAAGACCGATCGTGAGAAGTCTTCGTTGAATCCTTCTAACAACAGATTCAGCATTTAAGTGCCTATGACTGATCTTGAGAAGTCTTAGTTGAGTCATTCTAACAAAAGCTTCAGCATTTAAGCATGGCCAGCCTGAGTACGAGAAATCCACAATTATGCTTTCAACTGTTTTTGTAGCCTGTGCAAATCAAAGTAAAGGAAAATACAGAGAAATTAGTTTTGATTATGAAATTAATGATTGTTTCTTAAGGAGCCGTCTGATAATCATTTCATTTTCTATTTAATTGTTTTCAATTTTCATTATTAAAACAATGAAAACTAAAAATAAAAAATTGAAAACAAAAATGGTTATCAAATGGGCCTAAGAAATTGATTTTGGTCAAAAGTTGAAGCTTTCTACTAATAATTGCATAAGAAAAAGATTTCTCACCGTATTTTGAGATAGCACGTGATGAACATCTTCATAACTCCACAACCTACTTCGTCTCCCAGGCTCTTTGATACATTCTTGGCGGACGATTTCCCGACCCATTTCCGCTAATGAATCATGCATCTCCAGTTCCCCCTCCCCTGAGACAGTTATGAGTGCTCGATCGATTAGAACTCTTATTCCAGTATAAGGATGGAAACCACAATCTTCCAGAATTCGGGCTGCACAGTCTTTCTCCATCCCTTTAAAGAAACATGCAATGTCTAGAAAGATGTCCTTCTCCTTGTCATCTAGTCCATCGAAGCTTGATTTAAGCACATCATGAATTCCCCTTCGCGGGATTTTCCTTATTTTTTCTAACTCATCTTCCCACTCGCGTATAGTTTTGTTACCAAGAAAAGCTCCCAAGACTTTGAGTGCTAAAGGCAGGCCTTGAGCATATTCTACGACATGATTCGAGAGATCATCATAATCTCTGGTGGGTTGGTTTTTTCTGAAGGCGTGCCGCCTAAAGAGTTTCAGAGCTCCAGAATCACTCAAAATCTTGGGATTATATATCACATCAGCTATGCTTAGTAATTGCGAATCTCTAGTTGTTATAATAATTCTGCTTCCACCACCAAAGGAATGTGGCTCTTCAAGTAAAGCTTCAATTTGTTCTAATTCGTCCACATCATCAACAACAATAAGAACTTTTCTCTGACCAAGGCTTTCTAACATCACCTGAAAACCTTTACTCGATATGTCAGAACTCCCCACCTTGTTGTTCGAGATACTCAATAGAAGTTGTGCCTGCATATGTAGTTTGCCATGCTTCATGAAACCTTCCTTGAAATTTTCAAGAAAGCAACAAGCTTCAAATCGACTAGCGATTTTATCATGAACAGCTCTAGCGATGGTTGTTTTGCCTAAACCACCCATACCCCATATTCCAACAATGCGAACAGTATTCGTTTCACCTCCGGGAGGATATAATAATAGATGCATTTCATGCATGTGAGAATCCATGTCAACCAAGCCATTATCTTTGCTTGATGTTGATGAGATGTCGATCAATTTCCTATAAACATCTTCTACAATTTCCTCAATAAGCACCACATCATTCCTGTCAAATTAAAAAAAAAACAATATAATAACACCACCAAATAATAATTAATGGGTTTTTTCATCTGTTAGTTTTAAAAAAAAAACAGAAATTAAAACTAAAAACTAGATATTTATCAAATGACCCCTAAACGTGACAAAAATCCCAAAAATTAATAGGAAACTAAAACAAATTAGAATTTACTCATAGTTTCGCGAATCCCAGCCGGATAAACTGGTGGCAGTTGTAAGAGCGGATCTCCAGCTCTGAACCTCTTCCATTTCAGCGTTAGAATCACGATAGTGCTGAGCAAAAGCTTCCTCGAATTTTCTCTTGAGTTTACGAACGTCAGACGGATCAACTTCATAGAAAATGGGGAGTACAATCCGGTTATTGGTATCCTTGCATTCCAGGATTTGCACGAGTTCTTTCAAGCACCAAGTGGAAGAAGCATAGTTTTGAGAGAAAACTACAATCGAAAGCCTTGACTCTCGAATCGCTGTCAGGAGCTCGGAAAGGTGGTCGCCTTTTCTGAGCTTTTCGGCATCAATGAAGGCGTTGATTGGTTTCTTAGCCAGAGCGTTGTAGAGATGGCTGACGAAGCCCCTGCGAGTGTCTTCCCCTCTGAAATTGATGAACACATCGTATTTGCAACCAAGGCCAGAAGAAGATGAAGAAGAAGAAGCAGCCATTATTAATCGATCGCACCTGGTCAGCGATGATCGAGCCGCTAAGACTAGAGAATTGTAAGTACAGAAATACTCAATAGATCTACAAATTTGATCACCGGAAATTAGTCACTGAGTCAATGCAAAAGGGAATTTTCTTCAGGAAATTTCGGTGTGAAAGGAATCCGCATACTTCGGATTTTTCAACCCAAGAAAATGCGAAGAAAGGGGACAAAGTAGTAAATTTAATCTACAGTTGCCTACCCAACACCCTCTTGATTTAGAGGGTGTATTCAATTAGGATTCTGAGAGGGTTTCAGGAAATTAATAATTTCAGGAGTATTCAATTAGGATTTTAAGTGATTTTTTGAAATTCTAGGTGTATTCAATTAGAATTTCAAAATAGTTTATGAAAATCCTTAGAAATCCAGGTGTATTCAAAGTTTATAACATTCCATGTGTATTCAATTAGAAATTGATTTTAAAGAATTTGAGAAAGTTAAAGAATTAGAGGGAATTGGAGAGATTACGTAGTGTATTTTAAGTATCCACAAATCTCACATATTCCCATGAGATTTCGAGGGAATTGAATCAAAATTTTATATGGAATCTCTACAAATCAATTAAACTCCATAAAAATCAATGGATTTATAAATCCATTAAAATCTCTCACATTCTCAATTGAATATATATTAAAAAGATAAAGTTAGTCTCACATGTAATCTCTACGTACTAACAATTAAATGAGAGTTCCGTTTTAACTTAATATATGTAACTTACATGCTAATAATTAACGAAATATTAGCAAAATTTTTAATTTTAAGCATAAATTCTAATTTAGATATCTTCTAACTATCTTATCACCTTAAAAATTATTAATCAAATTAAACTTATTATTTATTTATAAATGCGTAACTAAATCACAAAGTGTTGAATGAAAGGGAGCACTCCAAAGGATGAAAAAGCGGGAGCATCGAAAGCTATCTCCGTTTTTTGCTGTCTATTTGTCTTCTTTTGGCAGATAGCTCCTAGACTCCTAGGGGCCGGCCTATTTTCCACAGCTGGTTATAGGACTCAGTTGCTATTGAAGAAGTGCTTTGTTGTAATTCAATATCGATGGAAATTCAACAGAATCTTTTTCAAATTTTTGTGAGGATTTTGGGGTGTAAGTGAATTGTTTTTGTTCATTGTATATTGTGCGGTCATTTTTCATCAAATACTGTTTATGTTTCATTTTAAATAAAATAATTTAAAATAATTTTTAGCTGCAAGTTGTACGATGAACTGATATAATTCATAAATCTTTAAAATCCTTACAAAGAAAATCTGAAAAAAATCCGAATTCAATGGAAATAAGCTGATTTTGAATCAAATAACATTACTTTACAACACTGCAGTTTTCAGCATTGCACCGGAGATCGTGCGGTCATTCGTCCTTCTGTTCTCCGTAGTTTTGCCGACTTTGGTTCCACTTGCTGTCCAATGCGCTAGGCGGCTTATCAGGATCAGGCTTAGAGAACCTGTAGTAAACTGCATTATGTGGTTCGTTTATAGCTGTACATCATAAGTCTATTTCCGGGATCATATCATCGTTGGCGCATTCATCATAGAAGCTCCAGCTTCGTATCCAAGTCAGTCGTTACTATCTTACATTTGCTATATATTACAAAATTTTGGGTGGGAAAACTTCTTATATGATAATGCGTGAAGAATTCAGTTCGAAAACAGTAAAACAAAATTATTTGTACTAGTTCTTCTACTTGATATATGATGGTGTGTTTTTTGTTTTTTTGACCGAGGTTTATAATGGTGTTTGTTCTATAAGTCGGCATCTTTGCCAACCGCAATCGATACTGTCGTTCGATACTGCAAATGAAAACCCGGTGGGTGCGCAAAATTTCGAGCCAATCCTACAATCTGACAGATTGTAGGAAGAAAGGAACAATGTTGTTGGCAGCACAAAAGTTCATAATCTTCTACTTGGAGTAATCTGTTTAAGGCTTTAATATTCATGCAGAAAGTTTTACAAAATGATCGCCTTTCGACATATATCACAATGGCGATCTTTAATCATAATGACTTGTACTGCTCGATCAAACGAGACGCATGGAGGCACGACGTAGGAGCCACGGTGCAGCCCAAACTTTGCAGATAAGAAATCTGGTAATTCACAGCATGACAAACATATTATTGGGTCTCCTGACCATCCTAGATACCAATGTGTGCACAAGGAAAGGAGTAAGGTAATCAAATGCTTGAGTCTTGTGTACCTGTTTCGGTGTTGGTTCGGATGAACCCATTGAGTTCTCGATCCTTAACTTCTGGAAATGCTCCTGAAAGCATAAATATATGTACGGATTTAAACCAATGACAATGGACATAATTTACAGACAATGATTGAAGAAAATACAGATATAAATGCCTCAGTATTCCATTGACGAAAGTTCTAGATTTGATGAATCAAACGTCCCACGTTGAGACTGCGTTAAGGCAAATGGTTCTCAAACACAAAGCAATAGTTTGCTACCGAAAACAACCAAAGTTTGACAAAGGAAACCGTCTTACACCTAACCTGTTTTTCCCTCATCAAATGAGCGCGTTGATCTGCAGGTATTTTCTGCCATCTCAAAACCTGTTACAAAGAAATATAACATTGATGTCGAGCTGGATAGCATATATACCAATTATGTGTACAAACCTATTGAAATAAAGTAGCTGTAGTTGCATATTACGACAGATATTAACGAAAACAAAAGAAGGCTCGCCTATTCAAGATCCTAAATCCCGTGATTCTTTTGTTTTTAGTTTCAGAAATTTTCAGAGCACAAACTGGAAAGTACCAAGATACTTACATATTGGGCATAATGAAATGCATCTTCATCTTTCAAGCAAGATTTCAGTGAGCGCAAACCGTCCTGAGAGTTACATAGAGTCAATCAGTAATATAAAAACGTAGATGCATCACACCCAAACACAAGTATTCAAACACCGACAACTTCTTCATGCGGTGAGGCATGTTAAAAAATAGGGAAGAACAGTTATTGAACAGGAAGTTAAAGGACTAAATTTATGACCTTGTGTTTGTAGTTCTTGGCTCGTGTGCGTTCATCTATTACAAAACCAATCTGTAACAGGTACAACAGAAAATATAAGCAGTAGTCAGAACATTAAGCATCGGCATTCACATTGCCACCAATCCAAAGTTAAAAGTCTAAAGGCAAAACAGTATGATTCTTATCTCTCAAACAAAAATGAAACTATACCCCGGTCTCAGACATAAATGAAATAAGTTCTACTGCCTCAACTGAGTACTGTGATTATATATAAATCCAATTCACCTTGTCAAGTAATCTCTTAGGATCTTGAAATGCTTGCTTCTTAGCCCAGTCATTAAATACATGCGAGATAATCGATCTCTCATCCACACTGAATCTATTGCACAGTGACAGAAGAATAAAGTTAAACATGAACATAACCAACCAAAAATGCTAGTTATAATAGTATACCCATAATTGCAAGCAAAACCTTTTTAAGAAGCCATTTCCATGGTTTTCCTCCCCAAATTCCATCAATTCTGCAGAGGCAACGTCAAATTTACTATGATGGAGATCATTTTGCACCATAACAACTTCAGAAGGTAGGAGATTTGGTTTGAGATCATCTGTTGACGGAGTAGTTTCTTTTGAAGTGTCATGATGCTTTGATTGCAAGCCTTCTGTACTTACGTCAGCCTACAAAACAAAAATTGCATTCATCCACACTAGACTTAATAAGATTAGAAACACTTCAGATTCTTCACTATTTGTAAGTTTGACTAAACAGCAGAACAACTAAGGATAATGAACAGTAATACACACCTGGACTTCTCGTAGATGATTTGGAATTTCTTTCAGAAATCGCGAAGGTTGAAGCATCTGAAGGAGTCACCTTCTCAGTCAGAGCAACAAAAAATAAGGAGGACAGGAATTCAAGCTAAAACGAACCTGCCAACTGGAATCCATCGTAACATAAAGAATGAAAAGCTTTTTTCGAGCACGAGTCATTGCAACATATAATAGGCGTCTTAACACTTCAAAGCTCTGCATATAACTAAAAGGTCGTACCCAGTGCACAAGGCTCCCGCTTTACGCAGGGTCTGGGAGAGGTGAATGTCAGCTAGCCTTACCCCCATTTTATGGAGAGGTTGCTCCCAAGTCTCGAACCCGAGACCTACCGCTCATGGGCGAAGGCACTTGCCATCACACCAAGTGCGACCTCTAATTGTATCAAATACATATATTCACAAAAATTATATATGACCGTTAGATGTATTAAATACATGCAAGTATTGTAGCTAGATGATTATTGAGTAAGGAAATTCGATCCTGACTTGCAAGACCTAGAGTATACTAATGACTTGTACCAGATCATGAGTCAACAAGCACGTAAGGTTATTCATAGTTTGACACTAGACGACAATAATGAAGACATGATCCAATGATTTTGCAAAATAAAAAGTGCCTTAACAAATGATTTTGGTGTGCCACCGGAGAAATCTAAATCATATTCATTGAAAGGCCAGTTATTTCCTTCCATTCTAAAAGAAATACAGCAATGAATGTCAAACTATAAAATGTATCTCCTAAAGTTGAGAGAAAGGACCCTTACCTACATTACGGAAAAACACTATCTTCCAATGAAGTGGCATAAAAATTGCTGAAATATGTTAATTTCTAAAGTACAAATAAAACAACCTACCTTTTCAAAGTAGAAATTTATAAGTGCCTTTTCAAAGTAAAAACTTAAAAGTGCCTCTTCAATGTTTTCATTTTCAAATAAAAGTGGTCCAAAATGCTTGAAGACAACTAGGAAAAAGAAACATAACTGATTGAAGACCATATAGGAAATCAATGGAGCTTGAATTTCTAGATTAATAAACAAATTAACAGAGCTTCTGTACTACACAAGCCTTCCAAGGATAAGAAGAATAACAGAAGAATAATAAAAATCACATATAGGTGCACATGAACCTTCACACGTCCAGAAAATTTGCAAAAGAAGTACAGCAATAACATAGATGACATATGGCTTGGCGCACACACTCACACAGAGAAGCGTAATAAGTAATAATATTCCCAAATAGCTGCACATTCAATTGCACACATACAACAAGAACTACAACAATAACGTAGACATGACGCGCACGCGCACACACACACACACACACTCACGGAGCTAGTGAATGCAACAATAATCAGCTGACCTGGTTCAAGACTGGAGCAGTGGTAGTGCAATCGTCACATTTTTGTTGACATCATGAACTTGGCTTTTTTCTCAGCTGGCTTAAGAATCTGGAAAGAGCACATTAAGTTTTCATCTACACTCATCATCGCACCAGCATTGTCAAACTCACCACAGTAGTTGGGAGCTGAAAAAATTGTAACAAGTTGCCTGTCCGCAAAGAATTCATAACCATCTTCCATTGGCATGTTTAATCTGCATATAACTGAAAAATGTTAAACAATTTACCGCACATCTCAATGGAGGTCCCATTTTCTTTTGCAACGCCATTGAATTCATGGAACGGGATCTCAGATTCATTTACCTGTGTTATTGGCATGAGCATTAAAGCAAGCTAAGATGATTTGAAGAGGTTGATATCGTCATGAATATACTAGAACAGAATACCAATTTCAAGCCATCAATTAGGTATAGCATTGGCATGTTTAATCCGTAAATCTAATGACAGAACACCTCAACTCTACACATAAATAAATAAACAACCTGGAAAATATTACAGCCACTTGTTAAGGCAAATACCTTAATTATGAAAACCATATCCCACTCTAAACCTTTTGACTGCAAGAGAATGAAAAAGAAAGACAGTAAGCCAAGAATGTTTGTAGAACTCCAAAGGAAGTCCAATAGGGAAATCATCGCAAGTATAAGAGTTAGCGAGGTTCGCATAAGAGGATATCAAAAAGATCTAGAACCTGATGAATAGTAGTCAAAGTGACAGAACTTTGGTTGTCATGTCTTCGGGAGTGAAAATTTTCACTCTCCCGCTCAGATATGTAGTCGATGAAAGCTTTGAGTAAATTAACGCAGCCTTTTTCTTCTGCTACGACTTCTCTCTCCCCTTTTCCCACAACAAAATGAGTTGATAAGAAATCAGATACGTCGTCTAGTAGGTACTGAAGAACCTGCAATGAGAATAATCGCATCACAACAACAGGGTTGGACCAAGATTTAAGTGACAACAATGATTAACTAACTAAAATAGAGAAATTATTCATTTAAGACCTTGTTGACTGGAAAAAGGGTTTTCCAAGCAGCGGGTCATTTAAGCTTTTTGTATAAATGACAATCATCACAAACGGCAAACTTACAGATCTCATGTCATTGTCTTCATTCAGCAGTTTTCCTCCATCTACATCAACGACTGCACGTTGCTCAAGACGGTACTTCTAAAAATTGAAAGTCAAACGATAAATTATTAAGAAGCATTGAATATAAGCATGAAACGAAGAAAATGTTATGGAATGGTGATCCTCATCCTCAAAGATGATTAAAAGCAATTTGATTCAAAAATGACATATCAACTCTGGAGAAATGGAAGACAAACCTGTGGTACCATATTCGCAACTGAGGTTATGACAGCTGAAATCGATTGTTCCTGTGTGCATTGATAAGTGAGACTACCATAGAGATTCACAACTAAATAAAGATAGGTATTCCACAGAACAACCTTTACCTCTTTGGAAACACAGATCTAACAAAAACTATAACATTTTGGATTAATATTGACGAATCAAGAATAATGCAAGGGAGCAAGAGATACTCTTCCTTCTAATAACAAGGAGGCATGAAAAGTATACAGAGTTCCAACAATTAGAGAACTAAAATCAAACTAAAAAAATCACCAGAGTAGACAGAATCTCACTTCGCCAAAAATTTGAAAATATATCCTTTTTATCCATTGAGATTCATGAACTACTCCTACTCATCATGCCAATAAGCAATGCGTAAGAGGTGCTACAATTTACCGAATATATTTACCCTGAGAACAAGTTTTGAAATCATCTCTAGTGTTAACAGCACCTTGCGTCCTTGGGTAAGCTGAGTCCTATTATCAAGTAAAGAGACCAATCAGTACATCCAAAAGATCTTAAATGCCTCTAATACCAATAAGAAAGAAACATGAGTATATCTTGAATTAACCATGCAAAAATGTAATGTTAAAGCATCTTGTCATACAGACCTCTTCAAGGTACCAGAAATTTTTGCACTAAAGATGTCACAAGCAGCTGATATGAAGCTGCATTTTCTGTGAGTTGAAATTTTGTCAATATAATCGATCACCTGAAGAGAGAGAGAGAGAGAAAGACAGTGATATCCAGAGATGTGAGCCTAGATGCTGAGTGTGTAAAAAAAGAAGATTAAATGGATAGCAAGAATATACAACTTTAATGCTGAAAAGAACATTGAATATGATGCTCATTCAATTGCCATTGAACGTGTACCTTCTTCTTTCCTCTTTCTCAAAAGCAAGTAGAGCCTTGAAGACTTGCCTATATGATCCATCATCACAACCAGGCAAAGTTGTTTTAATCATAGCAACAATGGCTCTAACTACCTGCCATAAGAAACATACTACATCAACAAGATCACAGTGTACCAGAAACCGTAATGTACCAGAAACATACTACATCAACAAGATGCAGTCTCCAGGATCTTGTCGACAACAAAGGCACATTGTGCATCCTCATTGTGACTTTCCTTGATAATTACCTACATTTTGCCAGTAAACCGGTGTCACTAACTAAAAGGACTGAAAAATGACATCAAATTGTACTTGTTGGAGCAAGGAAAGATTAAGTACCTTAGACCCAGAAGAATTGTCCGTGTCAACATTCTTTAGTTGGCATCGCTTCTTATTGTTTTTTATAACAGAAGATGCAGCTTCCACAATATAGCGTGTGGACCGAAAGTTTTTATTAAGCCTAATCTGAACCATAAAGTTATGTCAAATCCCACAGAACCCCATAAAATAAAACTTACTTTCCTGTAATTGTACAATATATTTGTTCTATACTATATACAATGTTTTAAAAGGTTCGCCTCGGGGCGCGCCTAGGTGCCCTGTGAGGCTGGGCTTGAGGGTTGCCGCCTCTGTTTTCAGGGAGTGGGAGGAAGGCGTCGCCGGAGCCGCCTAAGCGCCAGAAGGCGCCACTGGAGCCGCCTAGGTGAGCCTCAGGGGATTTTTTTTTTTTTTTTTTTTTTTTTTTTTTACTCCCAAACCCAAATTTTGGGTAGGGTTTTAACTAGCTCATACTCTTCCTTGCACTATCATCTCTCTGCCTTCTTTTCTGATTTTTATTTTTTATATAATGGATGTGTGTGCCGTCTGCGTGCATTGTTATATGTGTGCTCATCGTGCTTTTCATCCTCTATTATATATATATATATATAATATAATATATGTATATATATATGTGTGTGTATATGTATTTATAATATATGTGTGTGCTCAGGATGATTATTGATTAATAATCTTCTTTTTTTTAATATAATATATGTGTATGCTCAGTGTATATATTAAAAAATTTAGGTCCCGTGAGGCATCGCCTCACTCCTCACGCCTAGGCTGGGCTATCCCTCGGACGCCTCGCCCACGCCTCATGCTTTTAATACATTGACTATATATAATGAAAAAAGACACTGTGAATGACATAAGATAACATAGCAGTCAAGTGCGAAGCGAACCTTTTTGTAATTTGAAAAATCTTTACGAAAATAATCAAATCCAGAAATGTCCGCCCCATTGAAACTGAAAATGGGCAGCAGGATATATGTTATTTGATTTAGAACAGATAAGGGCTGGATTAGAATGAGCTGAGAGAGAGAGAGAGGGAGAGAGGGAGAGAGGGAGCAATAACATTGGATTTCCATAATAAATCAACAACATGCCTGATCATCATCGCCAACAATGGTTATGTGGTTATGAGAGGCGAGAATCCGCAAAAGACTATATTGCATAGCACTTGTGTCTTGAAACTCGTCTATTACAATAGCTTTCCATGACTCCTGGCACTCCTTCAACACTAATTAAGAGAACACCATGTATCAACATTTAGCATTACTTGTAAAACTAGATAAATCAATGAAATATACTTAGATGATAGAGACCTTCAGGAAAATCACTTAGCAGCTTCACAGAGCAGCTAATTAAGTCGTGGTAGTCCAAAGCGTTGCACGATTTCAAGATATCATTGTAATTCCTAAGAATTTCACCCTGATTCAGATTGAGAGCTAAAACTCATAAGCAATAGTTTCAAAGAACTGAAATGATATCTGAAATTCTAGTTCTGAGCGTACTCCTGTCACATCACCCATTCTTCGGCATTCAGCGGGAGTCTTTCCAGAAGCTTTTGCCTGAAACATAAATAAATTTATTGCCTAATGCCACATATTGTAAGACACACCATTGTATTGGTCATTCTAGCTTGATTGTAGCTAATATTTTTTAAATCGAATGATTAGAGTTCTTAATCCACAATAATCTGAACATTAAATTTGGTATTCATGACTAACCTGTGTCACAAACTTCAGCCATTTCTTTGATGCATCCTTAAAATGATGTGGAGATGTTACGCCGTTAGACTCTTCCCCATCTATAGCAACATTAAGATTCGTTTTACTCTTTTCATCTTCTGATAACCGCACAGCTTCAATGATTGCTCTTCTCTGTTGCCCATGTCCATATATCAAAAATTCTGGTCTGCGCTCGAGTCTAAAACACAAGCCAACATAACAGACTCAGCTATACCACCAAATGTATGGTGTTCAAAATCAAGGGAGGTGAATCAATAGCTTACTTCTCAGCATGTGATCGGCAAAGTTGCAATGAAAATGAATGAAATGTACTGATTGTTAGTAGTTTTGCCGTTGCTTTCCCAGTCACAGATCCAATTCGATCTCTCATCTCGGAAGCTGCTGCTGTAGTGAAAGTCATTGCTAGAATGTTCGACGTGCTAATGCCCTAAGAACACAAAAAAAAAAAAAAAAAAACGTATAAGATTTCGATCATAAACAAGAAATGTAGAGAAACACACAATTACGAAAGAAAAAGTTAGAGGGAAAGTAGCAACACCTCATTGAGCAGCATTAGAACGCGCCCAACTATCGTTGAAGTCTTTTCCACTTCCAGGGCCGGCAAACAATCATCAAAGGTACTGAAATATCGCTGCAAGCTGCCTCGCGCTGCCTTTCGTTGAGAGAAAGCAAATACTTCAAATACTCATCCGGCATGTTAGGCCATCCATGGTTAACAGAATCTGTTTGGTTTTCACTACTCAAAGGCGGCGCTGATGCGGCACTAACGTCACTACCACAACTCCCAATATCATCACGCTGAATGTCCACACTCGGTTTCTGCTCGATTAAAGCGTCAATTTCCTGCAAAATACTCTCATCGAAATCATCATCGTTAAGAATTCCAGATGCAGAGAAAGAATCAAATGAAGTCAGAAACTGCGGTTGTCTGATTGGAGTTGTGAAAGAATCCGATTTTGACACGCTTGATTCGGTCCCGCTAACGCTTAAGCTTCCGGAACACGAAGCACTGCCATATTCACCACGCGTTGAATTGTACCGGCTTGCGGAAATCGGAGGCGGTGTTCTTTGAACTCTATTGAGCTGAGTTGGCGTTTGGATTCCATTTCCGCCACAGATTCTGGAATTTGAAAAACACAATTGAATTGATTTAAATTGAAGCAAGAAAACAGCCGAGTAGCAAAAAAATAGTAAGAAGATGAAACCTTTGATTCCTGAACGACTTACTTGGTATGAGGGAGGTGATGATCAGGTGAAACGGCGTCGTTGCGGGGGCGTTTGCGATCAATGAGGGCCTTGGCGGCTCTGAAATTCCGAGAGATGCGGTTTCTTTGTTCCGCCGTGAGCCCTCCGCCGTATTCCTGAACGTTTTCCTTGGACATTGCTTCGAAGATTCCAACGGAGGATTTGGCCTGACGGCCTGACCAGGCTGATAATATTCTTTTCATTCAACTTGTCTACAATAATTACCACTCTTGGTATTTATACATTTCTAACACGCCTCACTAACTAACTAAGACCACTACCAATCATACATAAACACTTGTCATAATCCTATGCACTCATAGTATCATCACTCTAACTTCCCCTCAAACTCATGTGGCAGATTGCCAAGCATGAGATTGGAACAATTACGAGTGAACTGGGGTGAACACAAGCCTTTGGTGAACATGTCGGCATATTGATTTGCAGAGGTAACAAACTGCAAAAAATTGTCCTTTGATGAACTCTTTCATGAACAAAGTGGCAATCAATCTTTAAATGTTTGGCTTTAGAGTGCAATACAGGATTAGTGGCAAGAGCCATTGCTGAAATGTTATCACAATGCAAAACTGGAACATAAGGAGAACCAACATGCAAATCTCGAAGAAGCTGTTGTATCCAGATAACCTTAGCAGTGGTTGTAGCCATTGCTCTATATTCAGCTTCAGTGGAAGACCTACTCACTGTATGCTGCCTTTTAGAACTCCAAGAGATAGGAGTATCTCCCCAAAAAATGACAAAACCCGTGGTTGAACGACGATCATTAGGATCCCCTGCCCAATCAGCATCTGTATAGGCTTTCAACTGAGATGAACATGATTTAAAACACAATCCCAAAGACATAGTGCCTCTGAGATATCGTAGAATACGTTTCACAGCAGCAAATGAGTGGCTAAGGGTGAATGCATAAACTGACATACTTGATTGACATAAAAAGAAATATATGGTCTTGTAAATGTTACGTATTGCAGTGCCCCAACAATACTTTTGTAAGTGGTAGGATCAGAAACAGGTTCACTACCATGATTCAAAAGCTTTTGATTAGGATGACAAGGTGTGGAAAAAAGGTTTACAGTCCAGCATATGCATCTTTTAAAGGAGTTCTTTGACATACTTGGTCTGATGAACAAAGAGTCCCTGATCCTGATACTCAATCTGTAAACCAAGAAAATAATGCAACACACCTAGATCTTTCATGCCAAACTCACTAGTTAACTGACTAATAACATTCTGAACCTTCATAGCATCATTACCAATGAGAATGATATCATCAACATATAATAAGAGAACAATAATTGATGAACCATCACACTTGACAAATAAAGAAGGATCTGCATATGATGACTTGAACCTAAGTTTAGGCAAATAACCTGAAAACCTGTCATGCTAGGCTCTGGGAGCTTGTTTGAGACCATATAAAGACATTTCTAGTTTGCACACATAATCTAGATAGGTAGAATCCACAAACCCTTGGGGCTGAGACATATAAACTTCTTCCTCAAGAAAGCCATGCAAAAAAGCATTATTGACATCTAACTGTTTGAGTTTCCAATTATGAGATGCAGCCAAGGATAGAACCAATCGAACCATGGTTGGTTTGACCACAGGGCTAAAGGTTTCATAATAGTTAATACCAACTTCTTGAGAATACCCATTAGCTACAAGAGTAGCCTTGTACCTAGCCACTGAACCATCTGGATTTCTCTTAATCTTGTAGCTCCATTTACAACCAACAAGATTTTTGTCAGGTGGTAAGGGCACAAGCTTCCAAGTATGTTGTTGAATCAAAGCATCCATCTCTTCTTTTATGGCATTTTGCCATTGAACACACTTGACTGCACTAGAAAAAGACTGAGGTCTAATAAATGGAAATGTGGAAGAAACACTAGGTGGATGAATGAATGTGTTTGAATGCACAACAGACACTGGTGAGGAAGAATGACCAGAAGTAACTTGATGATTGAAACCCAAAGCATTAGAGTCTATAGGAAACTTGGATTCATAAAAAATAACATGTCTAGATACTAACAGTTTATGTTCTTTGAGAGAGAAGCAAATATACCCTTTGTATTGTGTAGCATACCCCAGAAAAATGTTGGAGCAATAATAGAAAATATGAGAAATAACAATATAATTCCAATGATAATAATCATAAAGAAATTCACAACATCAATTATATATGAGATTAATATAAACTACTAGAGTGAAAGTTAGAATAACTGACAAACTTGGAGATTGAGGCTTGCATAAATGCAATGTCCTAAAGATAGAATTTCGCCCCTACTCTTGTGTTTGTAGTTCAATAGGCGTCCATCTCTCAGAATTCAACAATCTATAATCCGAAGTCAAAGCACTTCAATCTTCGGACTCTGGCGAACTTTATATATTCCGTACTCTCAAGACACGACTCGGAATTTGACACACGAATCATTTGAGAAACAAAGTTGGGGAAACCCTATTTCTCAAGAGAGTAACAATTAACTCTATTTTTCTATTTTTAATGATAATGGTTTCATGAGTTTATATAGAACCCAAGTACTTTTTGTTAAGGAGATGTAACTTTTCATCTATAAGTATACATCACTTATCAAGAGAATACACCTAAACAACATAACCTTTCTAAGAAATTGGTTAACACTATTTTTCATTCAATTATTAAAATTATATATTACAATATTTCATATTATAATATATAATTTCCAACAAAAAATACACTTAGTAGTTTTAGGTTCAAGTTTATTGCTTCTATAGGGTTTCAATGAAGGATAGCATAAACACCCAAAAAATCTCAAATGATCAAGCTTAGGTGGAGATTTATATAGCATTTCAAAAGGAGACTGCATATGTAGGGTAGGTGTGGTCATTCTGTTTATAAGAAAAGTAGCAGTGGCACATGCATGGAACTAACATTTTGAAGGTAATGAAACTTGTTGTAAAAAGGTAATAGTTGTTTCGACAATATGTTGATTTTTTCTCTCAGCCAACCCATTATGTTCTAGGGTATAAGGACATTTTTTATGAACAATGCCTTTGGTAAGAAGAAATTGCTTAAACTGAGTACTAACATATTCCCCACCCCCATCACTTTGCAAAATTTTTACATGAGCATCAAAATAATTCGAGACATAAGCAAGAAAGTTGACAAAAACACTGAACACTGCAAACTTTATTATTTAATGGAAAAATCCAGGTATATCTTGTACATTCATTAATAAAGGAAACATAATACTTGTAACCTTCTATAGACAGACTAGGTGAGGGACCCCAAACATCTATGTGAATTCCTTCAAATGGAGTAAGTGACTTCAAAGCAATTACAGGAAAAAAGAGCTTGGTAAACTTACCTTGCAAACAAGCTTTACAAGTATGAGATTGAGAGTTACAAGGAAAAGATATAAAAGACTTATTAAGTGCTGCAGTGACAATGGAATGTGCAGGATGGCCTAATCGACAATGCCATAATGTAGAAGAAATCTTTTGACCCACAAATGCAACTGGATTAAAAACAGGAGAAATAGACCTTTGTGGTTTGATTATGGGAAGTGGATAGACAACATTATTACTCAGCCCTTGGAATAGCACTCTCTCGGTGACCTTGTCCTGTAGACAGAGAGAAACATCATCCATGATACAACGACACTGATTATCTTTGCATAACTGATTCATAGATAATAAGTGTTGTGACAGTTTTGGAACATGTAACATAGAGTTTAACTTGAAATTATGTGACTTAGTGAGAAGAGAAGATGAACCAATATGTTTAGCTAAACCTTCACCACTAGCACTGGTCACAATATCATTTGATGGATAAATTTGTTGCCATGTGCAAGTTTGACAAATCTGAGGTCATATGGTTAGTTGCTCCTAAGTCAAGAAACCAGAAATCTTGTTAAAGAGTTGAGGATGATGCACCAGCTCATGCTTGCATAGCAAGATGAGGATTTTGTGAGGATATAGTTGAGAGATACATATGTGGTATGACAAGATACTGAAACTGGGAGCTATTAGACCGTGGAATAATGCCTTGTGAAGGACCACATGGATTCTAGCTAGGTGCTTCACCATATGACCCAGTAGGCATTGAAGTTGGCATAGATGAGGATAAACCCTAAGAGAAATGCTCTGATGTGCCTGTGAAATTCTTATTCCGATCAAAGCAAGTAGCAGCAACATGACAACCTTTGACAAATTTGACATCCATGTTGAAAACAATTCAATGCAGAATGACCTTTGCGATCATATTTGCAAAATGGCCTTTGCAACCCTAGAAAGAAGAAGGAGCGAAGAAGACCAAATGTGCACGTTTCTCTTTGGTTTTTTTTCCCTCCTAATCGCCCTGTTCGAAATCACGGACCTCGGGCCTGTGCCTAGTGGGCCCAATTATGAGGCCCATTATCTCCGGTCTTCTCGTTCTACTTCTAGTTACCCAAATTAAGAACGTACTGGTTCGCTTTTAGCGCGAGAGAGAAATGGAAGCCCTGATTGCCTCGTACGGAGACTCGTCGTCGGGCTCAGACTCCGAGTCGCCGGCTCCACCTCCACCACCACCTCCGGAGCTCAACAATCCTCAAAAACCGACCCCTGCGCTGCCTCCACCTCCTCTGTCACTTCTTGACAGCCCCAATTCCTTCGGTAACCTCTGATTCCCATCAATTTTCATCTTTTAGCTTTCTGTTGTGATGGCTTTTTCCAAGTTGGCCACCAAGTGTTTGATGTTTTGCCTCTGAAGGATTTCTGGACTTCTCGGCAAGCGCCCAGCCGAGCAGAGTTCGGAACTTTCCTCACGTCGAAGGGAACTACGCAGTACATGTATACATCCCAGGTTATCAAAATTCTCGAAATTTTCAGCTCCATTATCAAATGCGATCGCTTTGCACTTAGTTTTTGCTTGTTTAATTGCGTGGTTCCAGTTTATATACCACCAGCACCAAGGAAAGAGATGGCCTTGTTTTTGAACAAGCTAGCTTCTCTGGTGCCTGGTCTCCATGCGGTTGACGTTGACTTCCCGCTTGACATTCTGCGTAAGGACGAGCACAAGCTTGAACAAGTTGCTTTAGGCAGAGAGTTCCATATAAGTCTCGGAAGAACTGTTCCGATTCGGGTGCACCAGATTGATTCCTTGGTGACAATGCTGCGGCAGAAGCTTCAGATTCAGAGGCGGTATGGTTACATTTACATTCTCTTGTCTGCATTGCGTGAATTTAGTTCTGTTATTTAACATAATTCTGTAAGCCTGCCAAATTTTTCGTCCATTTTCGGTTTAACACATTTTGTTATTGTGAAACAGGTATTGGATTGATTTTAGCAAGTGGGAGGTTTTTGTTAATGATGATCAGACCCGGACCTTTGTGTCAATCGAAATCATTGCTGCTGGGTTAGCTGAGGTATGATTGCTAGCTTTCTTTCTTGGTGCAATTCTAAATGTTTTCAGTTGTTATATGGGCTTAAGATTTAGTAAGTACTTGCCGAAAGTCATGGGATTTTGAAATATCGATATCTTGCTTGCTTATTAGCTTAGACTTGGTCTTCGATGCACTTGTAACATGAAAAACACAAACGAAAACTAATGCATGATATGCTCATGGTTTTAACATGTGTTGTCCTGGCGTAAATCATGTTCCTAATCCTGTCATGTGAGTATATAAGCCTATGAAACTTAGGGCATGTTTGGCGGGCCGGACAAGATTGGAATTGGTATTTCAGACTAGTTAGGTTAGGATTGAACTGGATAGGATAGGTTTTTTGTCTAAAGATTGGTGTAGACTGTCTTAACCAGACTAGGAACGATGGGATTTAAAAGGTGAAACAGATCCGCGACATCCCAAGGATGACCCGCCCACCCAACAACTCTGCTTGTGACTTGCAACACCTCTCGTACCCTCCACGCCCCTTGCGGCCCGTCAGACCACTCTGATATCCTGGAGGAGTGAAACGTGGTTACTAGAAGCATACCTGTTTTCGTATTAATGCACGGTTGAATCAGCTTTCATTGTCTACAAGTCTGAAATATTTTAACTTCCATTGATTTCAGATAACAAAGCAGATTCAAGCTGTGAATGAGGTGTATAAGCTTCACAATCTTCCTGAATTTTACAAGGTTAGCTTTTTCGTGCTTTTCAAACTCGAATCGCTTCCTGAATATATGACAATATATTGGATCAAACGATTTCTCAAAAAACTAATTCACTTGATGGGGTCTTGGTGATCACAGGATCCACGCCCTCACATCTCGGTAGCTTGGGCATTGGGTGACATCAGCAATTCCCTGAAGAAAGTGGTTGAAGAAGAAAGACGAAGATCTACCATCGGAGGATCGTTACAGAAATGTATTTTTACCAGTAAATTCAATGGTATCGAATGTAGGATTGGTAATGAGACACACAAAATATGTAAATTTTCTGAAGAATAATGTAGCCATTTAACTGTATTGTGAAATTCCGAGAATATATCGCTGAGCATTGGATGAGAAGACATTTCTTCGTTGGTGTCGAACTTCTTGTCGAAGGGATTGGCACCAGTGTAAACGTCATCATCCATGTTGATGGTAATTACTTCCCAGCTACTAAGGGATTGGTAATTACGTCTTTCACATGCCCGACAAATAGAAGTATCACCAAACATGTGAATATAGAGCATCTAAGCGGCAGGCACTAAAAGGAATTTAGTATGCAATAAACATTCAACGGACACAATTATATGTCTAACCTTTCCCGCTCCTGAGCAATTTGAACATCGTTCAGTTTTTGGCAGAGATAGGGGTTGGTTTCCGCCATCATCAGCTGTCGATACTGGTTCAGTAAGAACAAGGGTTCCAGTGCTGGAGCAACGAGCACAAGCAAGAGATCCTGCGTAAGTATCAAATACACAGGTAAGCTGACATACGAAACCAATCCGAACATCTCCATCGTATATATTTAAAGCTACAGTACATAAAACTAAAAGTCAGAAATATAGGACATTATCACACCAGTTCCAAGACAATATTTGCATCGTTTATGCTCCTGCTGTTTCACATTGTTTATTTCAACTACCATCAATGCTGAGATCACTCCGACTGCTCCTCCAGAGAATGACGCCACTATGGGATCAACTTGACTGCAGTTTGAAAGTAAAGGAGATCAATAAACGAAACTGGTAACAACATAGTATCAACATTATTTAGCTTCGTTTCAAGAAAGATGACATCCTAGGTTTTTCTGATGTGTAAAAATTGAGGATCCTCGTAAAATTTGACTATATCGGTTCCCAAAGCATTTGATTCCTACGTTACAGACGGAAAACAGCAACAATCGAATTTAAAGATTCATAACACGATAGATGGTACAAAATTTCAAAACGATAATTACTAGAGAAGAAAAATGAGAAGAGATGATATGGGATCTGCTAAAAGAGGTGACAGACAATGTAAGCAATCAGAGCTCCGGCTGATTGTTCACATTCTCCCTATCTTGCAGGCAGCATGAAGGATAAAAAGAAGAAAAATGAGAAGAGATGATATGGGATACTTTTGCTTTTGAAGAAGTAACTTTCCACAAGCTTATTCTTGAACTGAGTTGGAGGGTTTTCTGGTTTCCTCCAGAGTATAAGGCCGACTGAAGAATTTAAGGGTCAAAACAAGTCCATCAAATCTAGAGTACGTTCGACCCTGCTGATATGAGATACTTTTGCTTTTGACAGAGTAATGGATGTATCGGCACGTGTGCTGTTACTTGTCTCCACATGCTTCCTTGTATCCTTCCCACTTGCCCTATCTGTTCCTCAGGGAGATGCGGTATCTTCCCTGGGAGCATAAGATGTTGAAGATCAACCCTCGTGGTCTCTAAGCAGCCCAGCTTTTGAGAAAGCAAACGCTTCTTCGATTTCTGAGCAGGCGCCTCTTCGATGTCTGAAGCTCCGTCGAGTGCAGCTTTTTATAGGGGCTGGCATTAAGTTCCAAAGCACACTTGAATCTCCACCAGTAGAAGCCCCATTCTTGCACTTCTAAGATCTTGATTTGTCCGACCTCTTCTCTTTTCAACACCTTTGAAAATGTCTGGCCCCTCCGACCGTCGTTTTGACTTGAACCTTGTTGAAGAGGCAGCCCCGCCTTCTCCAGACAACATATGGCGGCCATCCTTCGTTTCCCCTACTGGTCCTCTTACCGTTGGGGATTCCGTGATGAAGAATGATATGACCGCTGCGGTGGTGGCCAGGAACCTTCTCACTCCCAAAGATAACAGACTACTTTCCAAACGGTCTGATGAGTTAGCCGTTAAGGATTTGCTGGCTCTCAGTGTTCAGTGTGCAGGTTTTGTGTCTAATATGGCCCAACGCCTATTTGCTCGAACCCGCCAAGTTGAATCATTGGCGGCCGAAGTGATGAGTCTCAAACAGGAGATTAGAGGGCTCAAGCATGAGAATAAACAGTTGCACCGGCTCGCACATGACTATGCTACAAACATGAAGAGGAAGCTTGACCAGATGAAGGAAACTGATGGTCAGGTTTTACTTGATCATCAGAGATTTGTGGGTTTGTTCCAGAGGCATTTATTGCCTTCGTCTTCTGGGGCTGTAACGCGTAATGAAGCTCCAAATGATCAACCTCTGATGCCTCCTCCTTCTAGGGTTCTGTCCAGTACTGAGGCTCCGAATGATCCCCCTCTGATGCCTTCTCTTTCTGGGGCTCTACCGACTGCTGAGACTTCTCCTAAGCAACCTTTGTGAAGGCTCCATCTTGTTTGTTTATTTTGACTCATGTATATGTACATATTTGTAGCTTATCGGGGATATCAATCTATATGTACATCTTGTTTCCTTCATTTCAACGTATTGTGTTAAATACACCAAAGCCTTCTTCGCTAAGTTCTTTGAATTTTCTTTTGTTGAAGCTTTCTGAGTGGAGCATGTAGGTTGGGGTAGTGTTCCCTTAATTTTCCGAGTGAGGAAAACTTCTCGGTTGGAGACTTGGAAAATCCAAGTCACTGAGTGGGATCGGCTATATGAATCTTAGAACGCCATTGTGCTCGGTCCTGTGTCATGTCCTTCGTTAGATCCAAGTACTCTAAGTCTTTTCTTAGAGTCTCTTCCAAAGTTTTCCTAGGTCTTCCTCTACCCCTTCGGCCCTGAACCTCTGTCCCATAGTCGCATCTTCTAATCGGAGCGTCAGTAGGCCTTCTTTGCACATGTCCAAACCACCGTAACCGATTTTCTCTCATCTTTCCTTCAATTTCGGCTACTCCTACTTTACCCCGGATATCCTCATTCCTAATCTTATCCTTTCTCGTGTGCCCACACATCCAACGAAGCATCCTCATCTCCGCTACACCCATTTTGTGTACGTGTTGATGCTTCACCGCCCAACATTCTGTGCCATACAGCATCGCCGGCCTTATTGACATTTCTTCGTTGGTGTCGAACTTCTTCTTGTCGAAGGTATTGGCACCAGTGTAAACGTCATCATCCATGTTGATGGTAATTACTTCCCAGCTACTAAGGGTGTCGGAACAACCTTGCACGCAGCCTCCTGTGCATTACTTGGTATTGTCTCAGATTCTCCAAACTTGAATGCTAATGTAAACCCACTCTTGACCTTCCCGTCATCTGCCATTACTGGAAAGCTGGCTAGGATGTTGCCGTTAACCTACCTAACTGGCTAGGATGTTGCCGTCATCTCCAAACTTAAAATACCGGAAAGCCGGCTCCAAACTTCAATGTGCTACTAGTTTTTGTATGCGAGAGCTCCACCTCCATTGTTGTAACAGCATCTGATGCGGACTAGTCCTTCATTCCCGTTACTCGTTGCTATCTCCACTTCAAACTTGGCGTAATGGCTCCCGGCCTCTTCTCCGGTGAAATTGAGAAACCCTGGGAAACCCTTGAGCTGGCGTTTTCATTCTGTTGTCCGTATATCTTGATATTACAAGTATTTGTTGTGCAAAATGCATGCTAAGTTCAAGTTATGTTTATATGTGTGTGTGTGTGCGTGTGTGTGTGTGTGTTGCCACTTTTCCAACGTTTTCTCCAAAATTGTGATTTTGGTGTTGTTCTAACTTTATGTTGGTGTTGTTCTAACTTTGGTGAATGCTAATAACAATTCCCTCGTTAACCATTGGGACGAGCAACAAGGCAGTTTTGATTCCGGGCACAACGACGATACCTCGAAAGAAATTGATTCTTCCCCAGAAAGATGTTTTAAAACAAAGTTGAACAAGGGAAGAAAACTTTTGAATCGCAATCAGATGTCTGGTCAAATTCTTTAACAGTTGATGTATACAGAAGTTCCTTGCTTATGACACGACTTATGAGAGGATGTATGTATTGCATTTGCATCAAAAGAAAGAAAGAAGGTTGTAAGTGGTAAGGGAACGACTACCGATGGCGCTCCACTTCTAATCAAAGGGATCGATCCGAGGGTCGTGTTCACTTGCCATCGCCATTCCAGTGCAAAGGCATGTCGGGCACATTACCTGCCACATTTACAGACGCAATGTTAGATATAGCTGCCATTTGGAAGTCACCTCTCAAAATTTTGCTACTAAATTAATCTTAGACTTCATTTCCAGTGCAATTTTTTTCTTCCGAAATGTCTTTCACATGCCCGACAAATACAAGTATCGGTCACCAAGCTTGTGAATATAGTGCATCTAAGCGGCAGGCACTAAAAGGAATTTAGTATGCAATAAACATTCAACGGACATAATTATATGTCTAACCTTTCCCGCTCCTGAGCAATTTGAACATCGTTCAGTTTTTGGCAGAGATAGGGGTTGGTTTCCGCCATCAGCTGTCGATACTGGTTCAGTAAGAACAAGGGTTCCAGTGCTGGAGCAACGAGCACAAGCAAGATATCCTGCGTAAGTATCAAATACACAGGTAAGTTGACATATGAAACCAATCCGAACATCTCCATCGTATATATTTAAAGCTACAGTACATAAAACTAAAAGTCAGAAATAGAGGACATTATCACACCAGTTCCAAGACAGTATTTGCATCGTTTATGCTCCTGCTGTTTCACATTGTTTATTTCAACTACCATCAATGCTGAGATCACTCCAACTGCTCCTCCAGAGAACGACGCCACTATGGGATCAACTTGACTGCAGTTTGAAAGTAAAGGAGATCAATAAACGAAACTGGTAACAACAGAGTATCAACATTATTTAGCTTCGTTTCAAGAAAGATGACATCCTAGGTTTTTCTAATGTGTAAAAATTGAGGATCCACGTAAAATTTGACTATATCGGTTCCCAAAGTATTTGATTCCTACGTTACAGATGGAAAACAGTAACAATCTAATTTAAAGATGCATAACACGATAGATGGTACAAAATTTCAAAACGATAATTACTAGAGAACAGGAGGGTTAATAGCCTGAGATATGAGCCATACCTCAACTGCAACGGCAGATGCATATTTACTATAAAGTCTTTATATGATGTGCCTCCTATTCCCAGCTTCAACTCCAACTGAAATATGTAAAGGTAATTGTAGGCAAAGAGTTACAAACATAACCGAATCCATGTTTTATAAGCAACAACTAAACTTATTTTGATATGTTTCCTCATTTTTTACTTGCAAATTCCGAACCATATTGTCGGACCAGTAAAAGAGAATAATGTTTATGATAACTGTTAAAACTAATCACAACAGGTTAATGCATAAAGAACTTACGGAGGGTGCTATGAGGCCACCGAAAAGGATAAACCCCGCAATAATTGAATAACAAACAGCATAATACTGCTTAAGGTTGTCTGAACTCTGGAAGCAATGAATTCACCTTGTGATTAATACTTTGCACAAACACTAGTTTTTGCAAATTTTTATGAATCGACAAAAGGCTACAACAAAATATGGCTAAAACATGTCGGGGATATGAAAATACATGTCTTCACAGGGGCACCAGCTTACCAGGGGAGGCAAAAATGGAATGAACGATGGAAAACTAGGAAGTTCGTTTTCTTGATCTTCATTTACCGCTCCAAGCTCTGCACGTTTAATCCGCTGTTGTATCCTCAGCCTGCGAACCTACGCATATCGAAGCTCATTCTTAAAGAACACATTTCTAATGGCAATTGGAGAGTAATTTAAAACATGCTAAACTGAGAAAGTGGTAGTAACTAGCAATTGCTCTCACCTCCTCCATATGCAAGAAAATTTTGTTGCGACGACTCCGAATATTATCTTGAATTTCCTGCAGCTCCATTGTGGCAAAATCCTGCACTGTTTCAGGCCCCTCTATGATACAAAATATGCACCATTAAGCATGTAAAAACTAAAAATTACAGGCTACAAAGCAATTTCCGTATAGTTGTTGGGTTAAATAACATCAACAGCAAATAAATCACATGGGTTTTTCACATAAAGTTACAAACTTTCAAGGACTAATAAGCTGTCTGCAATCTCATAAATTTCACAGTGCAAAGTAACAATCCAAAGCTTGGAACTTTAAATTTCCACCTTCTGTTAATTTCCTAGAGAGAAGAGAGGGGGGGGGGGAAGTACCCGGCGGGGTTTGTATCAGCGGCGGGATTGGGATCAGAATCGACAGACGGAGCGAAAGAGGAGGAGTCGGGTTCCGAAGCCATGGCAAGGGATCGCCATCTGGAGCTGCTTGTTGATATGGGGCTTCTGGGTAGCTGAATTTGGAGCAGCCGGCGCTATGCAGTTTGTACGGACGGCACCGATTTACGGGGAAAGAAACGGCCAAAAGTCTGCCGGAGCAGAGCATCTCTGTCTCTCTCTCTCAAACCAGAAGGTAGAGCTTTCTGTTTCTCTTGAGGTTTCTTTCACTGGTAAATTCCAGAGAAGCAGAGAAGAAGGCTCTCTGAGAAATGGCGATGGTGCAAGTGGAGACAAAACAAATGTAAATCTTGAAGCACTGAACATCTGCAGAACACTTGTCAACTGCCGAACTCTAGGATTAGGAGAGAGACAGTGAGCGACCGGCCAAAAAAACAAAATGGAGGTAAGTGGCTAATTCTTCTCTCATTTTTTTTTCCTTGTTTTTCAGGAAAAAAAAAAGACAGAGAGAGATTTTTAGTGGACCTGGCGTCGATAGATTCGAGTAGTATGTCACATTTAAAATTTGAGCAAATTGTAACTATAGTACTTTAATTTTAATTTAATTGGAGGAATGATCCATCAACTAAAAATTCATTACCATTGATCATTTAATTAAAAATCTATTACCGTTGGTCCCTCAACTTTAATTCAACTAGAGAAATGATCTTTTAACTTTAACCCAATTGTAGCAATGGTCATTCCAACATAACTCGTTTTGACAAAATTTTTGATGTAGTTGACGAAAATGACCATAATTACATACTTTGATAAGTTGAGGAACTCTAATTGTATAAATGGTCATTTCAACATAATTTATTTTGACAAAATTTTGACGAAATTGATGAAAAGGACTATAGCTACACATTTTGATAAGTTGAGGGACCAATAGTAATTGATTTTTAGTTGAAGGACCATTGCTATAATTTACTCTTAAAATTTTATTATAGGATGACAAACGTCGAAAATAAAAGGTTAAGTGCAGTGATCGTCTTTGAGGTTTTGGAGGTTCTGTGTGGTCAAATACTTTGTTCTCCCTAAAATTGCCACTATTGAGACGATTACTTGCCTCATACAAACATTTTACGTTTACTTAGAACTAGAAAGACAAGAATTGCATGTGATGAATTGCTCTAATCATGGGGTTTATTTTTTAACTCATTGTGTTTTAAATTTAAACTTTTTTCCCTCTCTTTGATATACTTATAAAGTGTGAAATTAATAATTTTAATGAGTGACTCAATTAACTATTTTCATTTCTTACGCGTTCAAAATTACACAAATTTGTTGCATACAATTTTTTAAAAAGAAAATTTCTATTATTATGGAGAAAGTTCGGTACATTATGGAAGGAGGAATTTTGAACTCGAAACACATGGTAGAAACCTAACGCCCATCCACTAGGATATTAGAAACCCAACGCATATCCACTAGGATATTAGACCACCAGAGCTGGTCCTGAGATATTTGGTGCCTGTGTCAAAATGTGTCTTTTTCCAGTACAACAACAGAAATTGAAAAGAAATATTTAAAGAGGGCTGGAACCCAGTCGAAGCTGGGGGCTAGGCCCTCACACCCATGTTATATTACTCGAAAAAAAAAAAATATACAACGGGATGGAACATAGTACCGAAACCCCGACAATAAAAAACAAAATCACATACAACCACTCCAAGCAGTCAACATGACCATTACATATTGAATCCAAAAGGTTGACGCCTATTCTCTGCATATAATGCACAGAAGATAACAAGATTACTAATATAAAAAGAACATCTGAAAAGATGAACATATGCATCAACATATAAGTTAACCATTCTAAGTGCAAATTTAGAAGTGATATGCTCCAAGTATAATATTGGACAGAAGAGCGGCAGCATCAACCAGTTCTGCTATATCCGGCTGGATGAGAGCTGCTAAAGACATGATTGTTCCCTAATAACATGAATAAATTGAGTAAACACCAAAAGTAGCAGCAAGGGAAGGAGATGTTAAGAAGATGAAGAGGTGTAACACCTGTGAATGTCCAACAACAAAGACTTTGGTGCTTGTTGAATATATGCAGCGCATCATTTCTGATAGATCAAATCGAGCCAATTCCTGCCAACTCCAATCCTAAAAATCCTACAGTAAAGCATAAATCTTATTCTCTTCTGATAAAGATGTGTGTCCCTGTCTCCAACGTGTTTGACGCACATTCCCTACCCATACATCGAAACCTTCATCTGCAAGGACAAATCCCAGTTATTCTTCTGGAGAATTTAAGAACCATGAATCACCTGGTCAAGATCAAGAAAAGCCAGTAACCAATTACAATTGAGTTTGAAGCACATAAGAGCCTAATTTAAAATGTATCCCATGGATGTTCATCAATTTACACAATAGTTAGTTTCAAGAAAGGAAATTTCAACAGAACCTGAAAACTTCAGATCAGGGGGCACCAAATAGTGAGCTATACATTCAAAATTTGAAATAATCAACTTAGTGGGACCAATATGTTGAAAAAATTGGAAGGAGCTATGAAAGTAAGGCTTTTCACTAATCAGACGTCCAGAGAATCAATATTTTACTCACGGATCAGTTACGGGGAACACTCCCCACCAAAGCAATCTCTTTCGTCTGAATCTGGAAAACAAGCAGCAGTGGATTTTAACAGTCTGGGTATCTCAAAGTTACTTTAATCATAAATTTAACACTAAAACATATAAATGGGCATTATTTAGTGAAATATTAGTATAGTACTCACTGTGTGCTCGGAACAAGAGTACCCAGAAAGCTCAATGAGCTGCGCACAGAGGACTACAGCGGTGAACGACAGCGACCGATTCTGTAAAATTCAGTCAAGTTTTGGGTGATTTCTGCAGTTATTTCGGAGGTCAAGAGGCTGATAGGGAAAGCTGCGACCGAAGGGCACTGGTCTGGAAGCAAAGGCTCAGGTCACCGCTGTCCCGATTCGCGAAGGAAGTGCCCCAAAAACAATTTCGGCCCTGGACAGGTGCACTGTTTGCACTGGACCAGGGCCGGCCGGCCCTGGCAATAACGTCCCCCAAACAGTACATATACAGATGCTAGAAATATATTAATGTAACCTGAAACTACTAGAACCATTCAATTCTAGCGTCTACAGCTATAGCATTAGTTGGTACAATGGACATTCTTCCAAAGAGGGGGATGAACTCGTTGAGGCTCTTATTTATTCCTCCTCTTGTTGTGCCCTTTTCAGCTGCTAATTCCAGACGATCCAATCTCATACATCTTCCCTGCAAAAGCATGCGTGCCAGACTTCAAGATCAAATTTTTCCAACAAAAGAAACTTAAAGATCAAACTCGCTAGCAGATTAAATGGTGCACAAGGGTGTTAAAATCTTGACATAGTATATTTTTGGCAGATTTTATGTGAGCATGCAACTAAAACTGGCATCACTATCAATGGTGCAAAAAGATTGGTGGAAAACTTTAACAGTTTGAGTTGTAACTTCTCCATTGTATTTGTTAAGGCAAGACGGATGTCATCTATGCATTTTTCTGTAAAACTTAAAAGGCTGCATAGCAGCTCTTGTTCGTACGACAAGCAATTGAAAATCCCATCATTATGCCCCGCATATACCAGAAAAAAAAAGTCATTTACACAAATTCAGAGCGTTCATCCACTGTAATTTGCAGATATAGAAACGTTAAGATAAAAGGAAATGCAAAGTTAGCAACGGGAATTGACATACCAATATCTTCACAGTTTCTGCACAAGCACAAATCAAAAGAATCCGGCGGTGGAGTTATGTACCTCTCCTTGGAAAATGCCACCTCTTGGGATTTCAAAATATGCGGCCGTGGCTAGCCGTCTGACCACGCCAATTCCACCAAAGCCGCCGCAACGCGGCGCAGTGTCCGATTGATTGCTTCAAAACAGAGCTTCGTATCCATGTGTTTATCAGCACAGAGTACCCAAAACCCCTGAAAATTATTTCTTTATTCAGATAATAAAATTTCCCAAATTTCAAATTTTAATTCCGAACCAAAAATAGGATTTGAATTTTGATTACCTAGAAATTGGGGGGTTGGCGATATGCGTCCTCGAGAGGGTACCAATACAAATTACAGAGCGTGTTGGGACGATGTACAAGGCTTTTGCAGTCTCTCAGATGTAAATACCGAAGCTCCGTAAGGCGTTCAATCCAGGGGGAAAGCTCTTTGATAGATGTTCCATCCAAGACAAGATTTCTTAATCCTTCCATATTTTCTTCAATGCTTGGAAACACCTCGAATTTTGTACAACCGGAAAGAGAGAGATAGACAAGGGACTTGAGCTGACAAATGCTACTTGGAAGACTCTTAAGCTCCTTGCAATTTTCTAGCTTCAAATGATTCAATCCCGTGAGATTATTAATTGACGAGGGCATTTCTTTAATTTTTGATCCGGATAAATGAAGAACTTTTAACCCTTCAATCACTTTTAAAATCTCTGGAAACATCTCAAGACTCTGACAATCATAAAGTACAAAGGTTTCGAGAGATTTCATATGAATGTTGCTTGGAAGACTCTTAAGTTTTTGGCAATCTGATAGGTTCAAATGAATCAACCCCGTGAAATTATTAATTGACATGGGCAGTTGTTTAATTTTTGACCCGGATAAATTAAGCTCTTCTAACCCCTCAATACCATCTGAAATCAATGGAAACATCTCAAGACTGGAGCAGCCACAAACATTAAAGGTTTTCAGACATTTCAAATGAATGCAACTTGGAAGACTCTCAAGTTCCTTGCAATCTTTTAGGTTGAAATGACTCAACCCCGTGAGATTATTAATTGACTCGGGCAGTTCTTTAATTTTGGACTCGGATAAATTAAGCTCTTCTAACTCCTCCATACCTTCTGAAATCTCTGGAAACATCTCAAAATTGGAGCAGCCAAAAAGATTAAAGGTTTTGAGAGATCTCATACGAATTTTATTGGGTAGAATCTTAAGTTCCTTGCAATATGATAGGTTCAAATGACTCAACCCCGTGAGATTATTAATTGACTCAGGCAGTTCTTTAATTTTGGACTCGGATAAATTAAGCTCTTGTAACTCCTCCATACCTTCTGAAATCTCTGGAAACATCTCAAGACTGGAGCATCCATAAAGATTAAAGGTTTTCAGACATTTCATATGAATGCAGCTTGGAAGACTCTTAAGTTCCTTGCAATCTCTTAGGTTTAAATGAATCAACCCCGTGAGATTATTAATTGACTCGGACAGTTCTTTAATTTTGGACTTGGATAAATTAAGCTCTTGTAACTCCTCCATACCTTCTGAAATCTCTGGAAACATCTCAAGGCTCACGCAGCCAAAAAGATCAAGAGTTTTGAGAGATTGCATACGAATTTTGCAGGGTAGAATCTTAAGTTTTTCGCACCCTTTCAGATCCAATAAAACAAGTTTTGTAAGATTCGAAATAGATGGGTGAACCTTAACTAACCCTCCACAACCATGAAGAATTAGCCTCTCAAGATTTGGCACATTTGTGAAGTCAGGGGTTTCCTTAAGGTATGAACAATAACTTAAATTGATGAATTTCAACTTTTCCTGCGTCTGTTAAAACATTCAGGAAAACATGCATTACTTAATAAGACATCTCACTCAAAGCCCAAACATTTAAAAGAAACAAATACATGTAAATGATTGCACATACCTGGGTTCCTTCCCAAAGTCGGTCAATGTGGCTATATTGCATGTCAAGTCCAACAAGATTTTCGAATTGAAAGTTGGATGGCAAAGACTTGAGCGGGAAACAAGACCAGGAAAGAAACCTCAACTCACTAGAAACAAACTTTAAGGACCCAGTCAGGTGTTGTATGCTGAAAGTACCGATCTTGAGAAGTCTTAGTTTAGTCATCCTATCAAAAGCTTTAACAATTAAGCATCCCTCATATGAGTGCCCCAAATCTAGGATTATGCTTTTAACTGTTTCTGTACCCTGTGCAAATCAAAGGGAAGGAAAAAGCAGAGAACCTTAGTTTAGATTATGAAGTTAATGGTTGTTTCTTAAGGAGTTGTTTGATAATAATTTTGTTTTCACTTTTCACTTTTGTTTTGATTATTTATTTAGAAATCTGAAAATTGAAAACATATAACTTGTTTGTAATTGTTTTCAATTTTCAATTATTAAAAAAATGAAAATTAAAAATTAAAAATGGAAACAAAAGTGGTTATCAAACGAGCTTAAGAAATTGATTTTGGTCAAAAGTTGAAGCTTTCTACTAAACATTGCATAAGAAGAGAAATTATCACCGTATTTTTAGTTATCACATGAAGAACATCTTCATAACTCCACAACCTACTTCGTTTCCCAGGCTCTTCGATAGATTCTTGCTGGACGATTTTCCGACCCATTTCCTCTAGTAAATCATGCATCTCCAGTTCCCCCTTCCATGAGACAGTTACTAGAGCTCGATCGATTAAAACTTTTATTCCAATATCAGGATAGGAACCACAGCTGTGCAGAACTTCGGTTGCATAGTCTTTTCTCATTCCTTTAAAGAAACATGCAATATCTAGAAAGATATCCTTCTCCGTGTCATCTAGTCCATCGAAGCTTGTTTTAAGCACATCATGAATTCCCTTTTGCGGGATTTTCTTTATTTTTTCTAACTCATTTTCCCACTGGCGTACATTTTTGTTATCAAGAAAAGCTCCCAAGACTTTGAGTGCTAAAGGCAGACCTTGAGCATATTTTACAGCACGCCTCGAGAGATCATCATAATCTCTGTTGGGTTGGTTTTTTCTAAAGGCGTACCGCCTAAAGAGTTCCAGAGCTCCATTATCACTTAAAATCTTGGGATTATATATCTCATCAGCTATGCTTAGTAATTGCGAATCTCTGGTTGTTATAATAATTCTGCTTCCACCACCAAAGGAATGTGGTTCTTTAAGTAAAGCTTCAATTTGTTCTAATTCTTCCACATCATCAACAACAATAAGAACTTTTCTCCGACCTAGGCTATTTAACACCACCTGGAAACCTTTATTCGAAACGTCGGAACTCCCCACCTTGTTGTTCGAGATACTCGATAGAAGTTCTGCCTGCATATATAGTTTGCCATGCTTTATGAAACCTTCCTTGAAATTTTCAAGAAAGCAACAAGCTTTAAATCCACCAGAGATTTCATCATAAACAGCTCTAGCGATGGTTGTTTTGCCTAAACCACCCATACCCCATATTCCAACAATGCGAACATCATTAGTTTCAACTCCAGGAGGATACAATAATGAATGCATGTTATGCATATGAGAGTCCATTTCAACCAAGCCATTATCTTTGCTTGATGATGATGAGATGTGGATCAATTTCTTAAAAACATCTTCTACAATTTTCTCAATAAGCTCTGCATCATCCCTGTCAAATTTAAAAAACAATATAATAACACCACCAAATAATACTTAATGGGTCTTTTTCATCTGTTAGTTTAAAAAAAATAGAAATTAAAACTAAAACTAAAATCTAAACGTTATAAAAATCCCAAAAATTAATAGGAAACTAAAACAAATTAGAATTTACTCATATTTCGCGAATCCCAGCCGGATAAACTGGTGGCAATTGTAAGAGCGGATCTCCAGCTCTGAACCTCTTCCATTTCAGCGTTAGAATCACGATCGTGCTGAGCAAAAGCTTCCTCGAATTTTCTCTTGAGTTTACGAACGTCAGACGGATCAACTTCATAGAAAATGGGGAGTACAATCTGGTTATTGGTATCCTTGCATTTCAAGATTTGCACGAGTTCTTTCAAGCACCAAGTGGAAGAAGCATAGTCTTGAGAGAAAACTACAATCGAAAGCCTTGACTCTCGAATCGCTGTCAGGAGCTCAGAAAGGTGGTCGCCTTTTCTGAGCTTCTCGGCATCAATGAAGGCGTTGATTGGTTTCTTAACCAGAGCGTTGTAGAGATGGCTGACGAAGCCCCTGCGAGTGTCTTCCCCTCTGAAATTGATGAACACATCGTATTTGCAACCAAGGCCAGAAGAAGATGAAGAAGAAGAAGCAGCCATTATTAATCGATCGCACCTGGTCAGCGACGATCGAGCAGCTAAGACTAAGAGAATTGTAAGTACAGAGATACTCAATAGATCTACAAATTGGATCACCGGAAATTAGTCTGATCGATACCAAGTCAATGAGTCAATGCAAAAGTAAAAAGGGGAAAGGGAAATTATGCTTTATGTTTTTTCACATCTTCTTCGGGGAAATTTCGGTGTGAAAGGAATCTTATCCTTTTGATTTTTTAACCGAAGCAAATGCGAAGAAAAGGGTCAAAGTGGTAAATTGAATATACACTTGCCTATCCAACAACCTCTTAATTTAATATATTTAATTGAGAAAAGTAGTTTAGAGGAAGAGGTATTCATCAATTCCCCATAAACTTGTGACCATTGGCCAATTTTCCCCCTCAACTTTAATTTTGGCCAATTTCTTCCCTAAACTCTCATAATTAGTTAATTTCCCCCATCAACTTTAATTTGGTCAATTTCCCCCCTCAACTCTCATAATTAGTCAATTTGCACCCTACTGTTAATTTTTTATTTATTTTTCATCTATTCTTTTTTTTTTCTTTCAATCTTTCTAATAACTTCCAACAAAATACTAAAATTAATATAAACTCACCTGCATAATATAGGGTAAAATGTACAAAAACATAATACCATTAGTATGTGATATGGGTTGATTATAAGAAAAAGTTATGAATCGGGTTTAAATCATGTAGAAGAAGAAACAATAATCCTAAACTCATGGATCAGACCTATTTCAATAAAATGGGTTATTCTTAATAAGGAGTCGAAAATTATGAATTGACTAGCCATTTTTGCACTAAACCTCGATTCTCCGCAATTTACTTGAACTTAGCTTTCACTTTTATAAAGAAAATTGTATTCACATACAAAAATGTACACATCAATCCTTTTCGTTATCAATTTTGTATAGTAAAAAATCAAATAAAATTACTCCATACTAATTTATTATGACTAATAATACTATTTATGATAAATTGTAAAATTCTAAATTTTAATCTATTTGTAATAGGATAAAGACATAGGAAAATGATTAACATACATCTTATTTAGTTTCTTACACACACTTGTTTAATTATGATCAAATTAAAAAATTAACAGTAGGGTGCAAATTGACTAATTATAAGAGTTGAGGGGGGAAATTGGCCAAATTAAAGTTGAGGGGGGAAATTGACTAATTATGAGAGTTGAGGGGGGAAATTGGCCAAAATTAAAGTTGAGGGGGGAATTGGCCAATAGTCACAAGTTCATGGGGGAAATTGATGAATACCTCTTAGAGGAATGATGGTATCTCTTTTTCTTCTCACTCAATCTTCCAGCATGCGATTTAATCATGATTAAAGCCAAGCTTAATAATAGGTCGTATTATTTAGGTCGTTTTGGATTATAAGTTTTTGTTGTGAACTTGTGATACGATAGTTAGAAAATTAAAAAAATTATAATTTAAATATATGTGGTGAAATCTGTTAAGATTTAGATTCAAAATTGAAAATTTCATTAACTTCATTAATTATTAGCACACGAAGCTTACAAATGAAATAAAAATAATAAAATTAGTCTCACATGTAATCTCTATGCGCTAACAATTAATAGAGAGATTCATTTTAACCTAAAATGTGTGACTTACGTACTAATAATTAACAAAATATTGACAAAATTTTCAATTTTAAGCATAAATCTTAATAAACTTCATCTCATAAACTTAAATCCTAATTCAACAATCTTCTCATTACCTTACCACTGCAAACTACCTTGCCACTACAAAAATTATTAATCAAATTAAACTTATTATTTACTTACAAATACGTAACTCAATCACCGAAAGCTATCTCCGTTGCTATCTCCGTTTCTTTGCTGAGTGGACAGCTGTCTCTTTGTCTTCTTTTGGCAGATAGCTACTAGACTCCTAGTGGCCGGCCTATTTTCCACAGCTGGTTATAGGACTCAGTTGCTATTCAAGAAGTGTTATGTTGTAATTCAATATTGATGGAAATCCAACAGAATCTTCTTCGAATTGTTGTGAGCATTTTGGGATATTTTTTAATCATATTCATTTATCGTTGTGGGATCAATTTTATTAAATATTATTTATGTTTAATTTTAAATAAATAAATTTAAAATAAATTTTTATCGCACGATATACTATGAACGAATACGATTCATAGATCTCCAATATCTTCACAAGAAGAATCCAAAAGGATCCGGATTCAATGGAAATAAGCTAATTTTGAATCAAATAACATTACTTTATTTTGTAAGTAAATTAATTTTAAATCAAACAACATTCATTTATTATGTAGCTAATTAATTTTGTATGTGTCATCATATATATTAGGCACATTTTATTATAGGTGATTTTGTGGTATTCATTTTCATTTGTAAGTAAGAGGTCTTAAGTTCGATTTTCATCAAAAACGAATTTAAACTATATTATTGCTAGTCCATTATGAGGCCTAACCCACCCTCCTCCCCCTTAGTGTAGATAGATCGTTTGTTCAAAAAAATATATAATCAAAATAGAATGTGAAGCGAAACAATAGATCAACATTATTTATGTTAATTATAAATAGGTCAACCATGTATGTGATACTTAAATCATTTAAAATAAAATAAAAATTACAAAATCTGCCATTACAGCTGGCACACACTTTAATTAACACTTTCTTTCTCATAATTTTTATATTTGGAATAAGTCATACGAATCAAATACTACAATGTATTATCTGTTTTTTAATTCTATTTTTTACATTTGGATTCAGACACTGCGTTGTAGTGTCCATTTACTGATTTTGTTTTTTCCATCACTCACATGCCTCCTATATGTTCCTTTGTACATTTGGATTTAGACAATGCAATGCAGTGTCTGTTTCTTGGTTCTGGTTTTCTCTTTTGGATTCAAACGCTGCATTGCAATGTATGTTTCCTAGTCCTATTTCTTTCATCATCCACACGTCTCCTACACTTCACACTTTCATGCGACTCCTGATTTTTACATTTAGATTCAGACATTGTAATGCAATGTTCATTTCCTACCTTTGATTTTTACATTTAAATCTAGGGTTAAACTCTGTTTACTACCCTAATGTTTCGTGGTTTTCTACATTTAGTACATCAAATTTTTTTCATCCCAGAGTCATACCTAAAGTGTTAATTTTGGGACAGTCTCATACATCCATTAGTCAAACTGTTAGTTCTCACGTTAAGTGATGATGTGGCGCCCATGTGGACAATGACTGGGCCCCACGTGTCATTAAAAAATATTAAAATAATTAATTATGTAACACCCGCCCCCACTTATAAAATTATATGTGTGTAATATTCCCTAAATATTCTGAATCTATCAATTTTACCCTTTTTGGACTACCCTATCAGGATCTAAACATTGGATCCTTCTTTCTTTTCAAACTGCCACGTGGCAGCTCCCTAGCAATTTCCCTGTCTTCTCTCTCTGTCCCCCCCCCGTGACTCCTTCTTTCTCTTCTTCTTTTTCTGTTTTCTTTTCTTTCTTCTGTCTGTCTCTCTGTCCCTCCCGACTCTATCTCTTTCTCTCGTCTCTCTCTCATAGCTCCCTCATCTCTCTTCTCTGCAGCAACCCGCACGCACGCACCCATCTCCCCCGCGCGAAGAAGACCCATCTCCTTCTTCTCTCTCCCTCTGTCCCGTGCTGCGAGCCCAGAAACCGGAGAGGAACTCCGGCGAAACCTTTATTTTCCCGGTTGGGACGAATCGAAGCCGGGTGTAAGCACACCCAACTCCGGCGATCCCGAGGGTGTCGGGGCTTTTTCCGGCCATCTCCGATCGTTCCACGACGAAAGGAAGGTGCAATTATTAACGGTGATTCTGTTATACCTTCTTGGTATAGCTTTGCACCGTTGGTGTACGGTGAGTGGACCCCTTCAAAATCATGTTTTAACAATAGAAATGCATACATGAAAAGCATGATTTAATACTTATGTTTTACGAAGTACTTTATGAGATATATGCTTACTGAGGCTAGATTGAATTATTACTATTTTTCCTATAACCCATGTTCTTATAGAATATCCGATGGATGACGATATGATATTAGAACATGTTTAGAACACCTCTTTGTAGTATAGATGATGGATGACTTTATACTACGAAGTTGTTTTTCAATATGTTATGCTCAATGGTTTTGTACTTACCTAGTGGTCCTTTCCGCTACGGGACGTAGGGATAGATTCCGGTCCGTCCCGAGCGACGGTTTGGTGTTGGCATAGGGCCTGGAGTGTGTTTCCTCTGGCTATTTAGCACAGGGACGGGGAGCCGGCATGGGGTCTGTAGTGTATTTTCCTCTGACTGTCTGCTCAGAGACGGGGAGCTGGCATGGGGCCTGTAGAGTATCGGACAATTCACTAGTGTTTATTACTTATACAAGTTATGAATTTGAGATATTGCACGGCATGCTAGGTTTCGGAAAATCTATTTTGATCATGATATATGTGTTTTCATTAAACCTGGGGGTTAGTATGTTGATAACTGTTTTATTATATTTATATCAAACTGGTCCACTCATGTTTGTTTTGCGCCCCCTTCAGGACCTACGAACGAGGATTACGATATAAGCTACGAGGCTTTTCCCTATCAGTGATCCAGTGCTATACTTCTTCTGCTTCGATATCTTTTGTAATATAGCACATCTCTATTTTAAATTCTGTTTGTACTCTGTAATAGATGTATGCTTTGACATTATGCGTGGATCCTAATGTTGTAATTAGAAGTTGAATTTGTAGTATTATTGTGGCTAGTCTTGCTGCCTGTTTTAGCTTATTTGTGAGTTTTTACTTAAATTAATGGCTTTCGTCACCCTTTGGGTGTCGGCCAGCACGTGATAATCCCGATGTCACGAGGACATCGGGATCGGGGCGTGTCAGATTGGTATCAGAGCATGATTCATTCAGAGCATACTTAGGATTCTTTTCCACCATTTGGTAATTATAATTCCCCTTATATCCTTAATTTTCTGTTGTTCTAAATCTTTCTTGTTTCTTATCAGAATTATGGATCCCGCTGGTGGGCATGTACCTCGTCGAGCTCGTTTTGGTATAGGGGGAGGACTTGAGCAATTGGCTAATGTTTTGCGAACTGCCCTTACTGGTAGATCATCGAATCGCACCTATATTGAGATTGCTACCAGTCATGGTATTCCAGAGCTTAAGGTAGTGGGAGCCTGTCCGGAGGCTGAGGAATGGTTAGAGCAGGTGGAAGATACTCTGGAGGGTATGAGATGTCCACCAGGTGAGTGGGCGGAGACTGCTGGGTTTTTTCTTAAGGGTCCTGCAAAGATTTGGTGGAAAGGAGTGAAGCATTCTCGTCCACGAGGCACTTCGATGACTTGGGTGGCATTCCGGAAAGCTTTCAGTGCACATTTTCTGAGTCCCAGTTATCAGTTGAGGATGAGACAACAATTTCTGGAGTTTCGTCAAGGCGATCTGAGTATCACAGAGATGGATAATACTTTTCGACGCCTGTCGAGACACCATCCGGTGACTTATGATAACCCGAGTGAGAAGATGGTTCAGTTGCTGGTTTGTTTGAACCCTGATTATCGTGAACGAGTGGCAGCTATAAGGCACAGAAGTTATGAGGAAATGATTGAGACTTGTTTGAGGATTGAACAATCTAGGTGGGAGACTCAGCACCAGGAGGAGCAGGCGCAGTATCAGGAACCACCCAGATATCAGGAACAACCTCGGAACCAGAACCAGAGAGGTCATGGTTTTAGATCTCGGAGTGTGAGGAAATCTGGTAGCTCTTCTAACTTTGTTGGCCCTAGACACTCTCATTCCTTCAAACGTCAGGGTCAAGGTTCAGGTTCTTCCAGCGAGGGTTCGGGTAATGAATCAGGGAGGCGATATTTCAGTCATTTTCGATCGCAGGTTACGTGCCACAGGTGTGGAGGCATGGGACATATTGCCAGATTTTGCCCTTCAGGACAGCCTGCTGAGAGTTATGCATCGGTGCCGAGTTATGGTGGAGGGAGTAATCCGAGTTCTAGCTATGGAGGTAATTACACTCAGAGTTATGGTGGAAGTGGAAGTGGAAGTCAGAATACCCAATTTTCCACTCAGAGACAGCCGCAACAGTTTGGTGCAGCTTCGAGTAGCCGCTCTCAGGGGAATCGAGCAGGCCGTAATAATCAAGGTTTCAGAGCTCGTGGTAACCGTAACAGTGGTGGAGGACGTCAGTTTCATGGACGTATCAACGCCATGACACAGCAGGAGGCTGATCAGGATCCTCAAGTCATTACCGGTATGTTACTTATTTGTGGTAACTGGGCGAGGGTTCTAATCGATCCGAGTGCTACTTTTTCTTTTGTGTCTTCATCTTTTGCACCGAATTTAAATGCACCACCTACACCTCTTGGTTATGATATGCTTGTGCAAATGCCGCAAGGGGATCTGTTTTGTGCTCAGTGGGAGTATAAAAGTTGCCCAGTGGTAGTGGAAGGGGAAATGATGGAGGCTAATCTGGTCCCTTTTCATTTGGCGGAGTTCGATGTGATTTTGGGGATGGATTGGCTATCCAGGCACCGGGCCTATGTCGCATGTTGGGAGAAATCTGTGACGTTCAATCGACCTGGACGACCGTCAATCACATTTCAGGGTGAGCGACGAATCCTTCCTAGTAGTATTATTTCCGCTATTCAGGCTACTAGATTGTTGAGTAGGGGATGTGTGGGATTCTTAGCTCATGTAGTAACGAGGGATAAATCTTCGTTACGTCCTAAGGATGTGCCAGTGGTGAAGCATTACACCGATGTTTTCCCGGAGGATTTACCAGGGTTACCGCCTGCGAGGGAAATTGAATTTACCATCGATTTACTTCCAGGAACAGACCCTATCTCTTTAGCACCTTATCGCATGGCACCGGCGGAGTTGAGGGAATTGAAGGTTCAACTTCAGGAATTGGTGGATAAAGGTTACATCCAACCCAGTATGTCTCCCTGGGGTGCTCCTGTTTTATTTGTTAAAAAGAAGGATGGATCGATGAGACTTTGCATCGACTATCGGCAGTTAAACCGGGTGACGGTGAAGAATCGATATCCTTTGCCTCGGATCGACGATCTGTTCGACCAGCTGAAGGGTGCTCAGATATTCTCTAAGATAGATCTTCGCTCAGGTTATCACCAGTTGTTAATTCGGGAGGGAGATGTACCGAAGACTGCTTTCCGCACTAGGTATGGACACTTTGAATTTCGTGTCATGCCTTTCGGACTGACGAATGCACCTGCAGCATTCATGGATTTGATGAACAGAGTTTTCAGACCGTATTTGGATCGGTTTGTGATTGTGTTCATTGATGATATTCTGATCTTTTCCAAGAGTGTCAGCGAGCACAAGAAGCATTTGAGGTTGGTGTTGGAAAGGTTGAGCAGTGAGCAGTTGTATGCTAAGTTTAGCAAGTGTCAGTTCTGGCTAACCCAAATTAGCTTTCTCGGTCATGTAGTATCTGCTGAGGGGATTAGTGTGGATCCTCAGAAGGTGTCAGCAATAACTACGTGGGAGCAACCGAGGAATGTTACTGAAGTGAGGAGTTTTCTAGGTCTGGCTGGCTATTACCGAAGATTTGTTAAAGGTTTCTCAGCCATTGCCTTACCTCTGAATAAGTTGACTCGAAAGGAAGTGGAGTTTAAGTGGGATGAAGATTGTGAGCGGAGTTTTCAGGAACTGAAGCGATGTCTTACTCAAGCTCCCGTTCTTACTCTTCCAGACGATAGCGGTGAGTTTGATATCTACACGGATGCATCATTATCAGGTTTGGGTTGTGTACTGATGCAGCATGATAAAGTCATTGATTATGCTTCCAGACAGCTCAAAATTCACGAGAGAAACTATCCCACTCATGATTTGGAACTTGGTGCAGTAGTGTTTGCTTTGAAGATCTGGAGACATTACTTGTACGGTGAGAAGTGTCGTATCTTTACTGATCATAAGAGCCTCAAGTATATCTTTACTCAGAGGGATTTGAATTTGAGGCAGAGAAGATGGATGGAACTTATCACTGATTATAACTGCACGATCGAGTATCATCCCGGACATGCCAATGTAGTGGCAGATGCACTTAGTCGGAAATATCATGGATAGCTTGCATCTCTCCAAGCTATTCATGTTCCACTACTATTTTCTCTTCGAGAAACAGGCTTGTCGGTGAGACCGGGTGAGCAATGAGCGTGGTTGGCAAATTTCCAAGTTAGACCTGTTTTGGTGGATATAGTCATAGAAGCTCAGGAGCTTGATCAGGAGAGTGCCAACATTAAGGTCTCGGTGGAAAAAGGAGAAGAGAAGCATTTTATCATCCGAAGTGATGGAGCCTTGATGTGGGAAAACAGATTGTATGTTCCTCATGATAACGAAGCAGTGAAAAGAGCAATTCTGGATGAAGCACATTTGTCAGCTTATGCCATGCATCCGGGAAGTACTAAACTGTATCGCACTATCCGTCTGTTCTATTATTGGTTGGGAATGAAGCGGGATGTGGCGGATTATGTGAGTAGATGCATCATTTGTCAACAAGTAAAGGCAGAGAGGCAAAGACCTGGAGGATTGATGCAGAATCTTCCGATACCAGCATGGAAATGGGAAGACATCACCATGGATTTTGTGTATGGTCTGCCGAGGACGCGGTCGAGATTGGACGGCATATGGGTAATTGTTGATCGACTGACTAAGACCGCTCATTTCTTACCTGTTCGACAGACCTATTCAATGGAGAAATTATCGAAGTTGTTCATCGATAATATTGTTAGACTTCATGGTGTACCTGTCTCTATTGTTTCAGACAGAGATCCCAGATTTACTTCCAAATTTTGGAAAGCTTTTAATACTGCCATGGGTACTCAGTTGCTGTTTAGTACTGCTTATCATCCACAGACTGACGGTCAGTCCGAGAGGACAATACAAACATTGGAGGACATGTTGAGAGTGTCTGTTCTTCAGTGGAAGGGTAGTTGGGATAACTATCTGCCGTTGGTTGAATTTGCATACAACAACAGCTACCATTCGAGTATTGGTGTGGCACCTTATGAAGCCTTGTATGGGAGAGTGTGTCGAACGCCGTTGTGTTGGGCAGAGGTCGGCGAGCGAGTATTGTTGGGACCGGAGATTGTAGACACTACCAATGAGAACATCCAGCTGATAAAGAGAAATCTCAAGGCAGCTCAAGACCGACAGAAAAGCATAGCGGACAAACATTCCAAAGATCGTGAGTACAAGATTGGTGACTTTGTATTCTTGAAGTTGTCTCCCTGGAAGGGTGTGGTTCGTTTTGGTAAACGAGGAAAGTTGAGTCCTCGATATGTTGGTCCTTATCAGATTACGGAGAGAATTGGTGCAGTTGCCTATAGATTGGAGTTGCCACCGGAGTTGTCTCAGATTCACAATGTTTTCCATATTTCTATGCTTCGGAAATATGTATCAGATCCCTCTCATGTTATTCAGCTAGAGCCGCTGGAAGTAAGTCCGGATGTTAGTTATGTTGAAGAACCAGTGGCTATTCTTGACCAGCAGAATAAAGTGTTGAGGAACAAGGTCATTCCGTTGGTGAAAGTGTTGTGGAGGAACCACGCTACTGAAGAAGCGACGTGGGAAACGGAAGACCTGATGAGGAGTCAGTATCCGTATTTATTTGCTTGAAGTTGTAATTTCGGGGACGAAATTTTTATAAGGGGGGTAGATTGTAACACCCGCCCCCACTTATAAAATTATATGTGTGTAATATTCCCTAAATATTCTGAATCTATCAATTTTACCCTTTTTGGACTACCCTATCAGGATCTAAACATTGGATCATTCTTTCTTTTCAAACTGCCACGTGGCAGCTCCCTAGCAATTTCCCTGTCTTCTCTCTTTGTCCCCCCCCCCGTGACTCCTTCTTTCTCTTCTTCTTTTTCTGTTTTCTTTTCTTTCTTCTGTCTGTCTCTCTGTCCCTCCCGACTCTATCTCTTTCTCTCGTCTCTCTCTCATAGCTCCCTCATCTCTCTTCTCTGCAGCAACCCGCACGCACGCACCCGTCTCCCCCGCGCGAAGAAAACCCATCTCCTTCTTCTCTCTCCCTCTGTCCCGTGCTGCGAGCCCGGAAACCGGAGAGGAACTCCGGCGAAACCTTTATTTTCCCGGTTGGGACGAATCGAAGCCGGGTGTAAGCACACCCAACTCCGGCGATCCCGAGGGTGTCGGGGCTTTTTCCGGCCATCTCCGATCGTTCCACGACGAAAGGAAGGTGCAATTATTAACGGTGATTCTGTTATACCTTCTTGGTATAGCTTTGCACCGTTGGTGTACGGTGAGTGGACCCCTTCAAAATCATGTTTAACAATAGAAATGCATACATGAAAAGCATGATTTAATACTTATGTTTTACGAAGTACTTTATGAGATATATGCTTACTGAGGCTAGATTGAATTATTACTATTTTTCCTATAACCCATGTTCTTATAGAATATCCGATGGATGACGATATGATATTAGAACATGTTTAGAACACCTCTTTGTAGTATAGATGATGGATGACTTTATACTACGAAGTTGTTTTTCAATATGTTATGCTCAATGGTTTTGTACTTACCTAGTGGTCCTTTCCGCTACGGGACGTAGGGATAGATTCCGGTCCGTCCCGAGCGACGGTTTGGTGTTGGCATAGGGCCTGGAGTGTGTTTCCTCTGGCTATTTAGCACAGGGACGGGGAGCCGGCATGGGGCCTGTAGTGTATTTTCCTCTGACTGTCTGCTCAGAGACGGGGAGCTGGCATGGGGCATGTAGAGTATCGGACAATTCACTAATGTTTATTACTTATACAAGTTATGAATTTGAGATATTGCACGGCATGCTAGGTTTCGGAAAATCTATTTTGATCATGATATATGTGTTTTCATTAAACCTGGGGGTTAGTATGTTGATAACTGTTTTATTATATTTATATCAAACTGGTCCACTCATGTTTGTTTTGCGCCCCCTTCAGGACCTACGAACGAGGATTACGATATAAGCTACGAGGCTTTTCCCTATCAGTGATCCAGTGCTATACTTCTTCTGCTTCGATATCTTTTGTAATATAGCACATCTCTATTTTAAATTCTGTTTGTACTCTGTAATAGATGTATGCTCTGACATTATGCGTGGATCCTAATGTTGTAATTAGAAGTTGAATTTGTAGTATTATTGTGGCTAGTCTTGCTGCCTGTTTTAGCTTATTTGTGAGTTTTTACTTAAATTAATGGCTTTCGTCACCCTTTGGGTGTCGGCCAGCACGTGATCATCCCGATGTCACGAGGACATCGGGATCGGGGCGTGTCAAATTAAATAAAAGTTATAAAAAAAAAACCGAATCTGCAACCCAGAAGAAGAACCTTCTGGGTACGTGTTTGCAGTTGCGGGGCGAATTCTAGATCTTAATTGGATTATTAGTTTCTGTTGTAATATGGTAGTTAGAAGATTAAAAAAAACTATGATTTATGCTTCATATGCTAACAATTAACAGATAATTAATGAAATTTTTAATTTTAAATCTAAATCCTAACATATTTTACAATAGAAGCTTAAATCTTAATTTACTCAATCACATGGATTATTTTATAACTACCTTACTATTAATTCAATTAAACCTATTATTTCTACGAAAACTAACAAAAATTTCAAAAAAAACTTTAGTTTTAATGAAAAAAGAAAAATGAAGATTTGGTAAATAATACCAAAAAAAAAATAAAAATATAAATTTTCATTAAAAATGAACAGCATCAAAAGTGTTTTATTAATACTCCAATTATTTATTTACAAATACGTGACTAAATGAAAGGGAGCACTCAAAATGATGAAAAGCAGGAGCACCGAAGGCTATCTCCGTTTCTTTGTTGAGTGGACAGCTGTCTCTTCGTCTTCTTTTGGCAGATAGCTCCTAGTGGCCAGCCTATATTCCACAGCTGGTTATAGGATTCGGTTGCTATATAAGAAGTGTTTTGTTGTAATTCAATATCGATAGAAATCCAATAGGATCTTTTTCAAAATTTTGTGCGGATTTTGGTATGTTCGTAAATCGTATTTGTTCATATTATACGCTCATTTTTCATGGAATATTATTTTTGTTTAATTTTAAATAAAATAATTTAAAATAATTTTTTATTGTAACATGTACAATGAACGGATATGAATTGATTCACAGATCTTCAAAATCCTTACAAAGAAAATCCAAAAATAATCCGAATTCAATGGAGATAAGTTAATTTTGAATCAAATAACATTAGGAAAAAAAATTAACATTAGACGGTTTTAAATAATTTATTGTATATTTTTAGGGAATTGTTATTAGCACTTTAAAAATCTCATTTTACACTCCAAACTTTTTATATTAGAAAAGAAAAATACACTTATGAGGAATGTAGAATAAGATTTTTGAATTAACCATGCAAAAATGTAATGTTAAAGCATCATGTCATACAGACCTCTTCAAGGTACCAGAAATTTTTGCACTAAAGATGTCACAAGCAGCTGATATGAAGCTGCATTTTCTGTGAGTTGAAATTTTGTCAATATAATCGATCACCTGAAGAGAGAGAGAGAGAGAAAGACAGTGATGTCCAGAGATGTGAGCCTAAATGCTGAGTGTGTAAAAAAAGAAGATTAAATGGATAGCAAGAATATACAACTTTAATGCTGAAAAGAACATTGAATATGATGCTCATTCATCATTGCCATTGAACGTGTACCTTCTTCTTTTCCTCTTTCTCAAAAGCAAGTAGAGCCTTGAAGACTTGCCTATATGATCCATCATCACAACCAGGCAAAGTTGTTTTAATCATAGCAACAATGGCTCTAACTAACTACCTGCCATAAGAAACATGCTACATCAACAAGATCACAGAGTGTACCAGAAACCGTAATGTAGCAAAATCTTAGATAAAATAGCTGGCCAAAAGGGAATGGAAAAGCAAGCACAAAAAACAATGAAAAGGACCAGTGATGCCAAAATTCTGGTGGAAAAGGTGAAAAGCTTATGTCTATTACAGTTCTTGTATGCATTCTTTATAACTTAAGTTCTACGTAGCAAAAACCACCTTATGCACAACAATATTGGAAAAATTAGATACATACAACTGAGAAGATAGGTTTTCATAATCTGGACAAGTGCTAACTACCTTCTTCCTATAAACTGCCACTCCATGAACATTAAATGGTATTTTCCTTTCACGCAAGGCTGTCTGGAAGACTTTTCCTGATACCTGTAGAATAAATTACAAAAGAAAATGTGACCAAAATGTCTTATATGATTCACCTCATTCACATTAGCACTAAGGCAAGTAAGCTTGACCTGCCTCCGGTAAAGGATTGCTATATTTCCATAGGAGCACCCTGCTTCTGACCGTTTAGATGCAGTCTCCAGGATCTTGTCGACAACAAAGGCGCATTGTGCATCCTCATTGTGACTTTCCTTGATAATTACCTACATTTTGCCAGTAAAACCAGTGTCACTAACTAAAAGGACTGAAAAATGACATCAAATTGTACTTGTTGGAGCAAGGAAAGATTAAGTACCTTAGACCCAGAAGAATTGTCCGTGTCAACATTCTTTAGTTGGCATCACTTCTTATTGTTTTTTATAACAGAAGATGCAGCTTCCACACAATATAGCGTGTGGACCGAAAGTTCTTATTAAGCCTAATCTGAACCATAAAGTTATGTCAAATCCCACAGAACCCCATAAAATAAAACTTACTTTCCTGTAATTGTACAATATATTTGTTCTATACTATATATAACGAAAAAAGACACCGTGAATGACATAAGATAACATAGCAGTCAAGTGCGAAGCGAACCTCTTTGTAATTTGAAAAATCTTTACGAAAAGAATCAAATCCAGAAATGTCCGCCCCATTGAAACTGAAAATGGACTGCAGCAGGATATATGTTATTTGATTTAGAACAGATAAGGGCTGGATTAGAATGAGCTGAGAGAGGGAGAGAGGGAGAGACGGAGCAATAACATTGGATTTCCATAATAAATCAACAACATGCCTGATCATCATCACCAACAATGGTTATGTGGTTATGAGAGGCGAGAATCCGCAAAAGTCTATATTGCATAGCACTTGTGTCTTGAAACTCGTCTATTACAATAGCTTTCCATGACTCCTGGCACTCCTTCAACACTAATTAAGAGAACACCATGTATCAACATTTAGCATTACTTGTAAAACTAGATAAATCAATGAAATATACTTAGATGATAGAGACCTTCAGGAAAATCACTTAGCAGCTTCACAGAGCAGCTAATTAAGTCGTGGTAGTCCAAAGCGTTGCACGATTTCAAGATATCATTGTAATTCCTAAGAATTTCACCCTGATTCAGATTGAGAGCTAAAACTCATAAGCAATAGTTTCAAAGAACTGAAATGATATCTGAAATTCTAGTTCTGAGCGTACTCCTGTCACATCACCCATTCTTTGGCATTCAGCGGGAGTTCTTTCCAGAAGCTTTTGCCTGAAACATAAATAAATTTATTGCCTAATGCCACATATTGTAAGACACACCATTGTATTGGTCACTCTAGCTAAGCACAATGAGCTTCAGTGGCATACGGCGGTCACACAACACGCCGGATGCACTCTTCCACTTCATCCATCCAGCTTGTATTCTATGGTTGAGATCTCCATCTAATTCTCCGTTCTTTTGCAAAATAGATCCTAGGTAACGAAAACGGTCGCTCTTTGATATTTCTTGATCTCCGATCCTCACCCCTAAATCGTTTTGGCCTCCATTTGCACTGAACTTGCACTCCATATATTCTGTCTTTGATCGGCTTAGGCGAAAACCTTTAGATTCCAACACTTCTCTCCAAAGGTTAAGCTTTGCATTTACCCCTTCCTGAGTTTCATCTATCAACACTATATCGTCTGCGAAAAGCATACACCAAGGAATATCACCTTGAATATGTCCTGTTAACTCATCCATTACCAACGCAAAAAAGGTAAGGACTTAAGGATGAGCCTTGATGTAATCCTACAGTTATGGGAAAGCTTTCGGTTTGTCCTTCATGAGTTCTTACGGCAGTCTTTGCTCCTTCATACATATCTTGTATAGCTTGGATATATGCTACTCGTACTCCTTTCTTCTCTAAAATCCTCCAAAGAATGTCTCTTGGGACCCTATCATACGCTTTTTCCAAATCTATAAAGACCATGTGTAAATCCTTTTTCCCATCTCTATATCTTTCCATCAATCTTCGTAAGAGATAGATTGCCTCCATGGTTGAGCGCCCTGGCATGAACCCGAATTGGTTGTCCGAAACCCGTCTCTTGCCTCAATCTATGCTCAATGACTCTCTCCCAGAGCTTCATTGTATGACTCATTAGCTTAATACCACTATAGTTCATGCAATTTTGTACATCGCCCTTATTCTTGTAGATAGGCACCAAAGTGCTAATTCGCCACTCATTCGGCATCTTCTTCGTTTTCAAAATCCTATTGAAAAGGTCAGTGAGCCATGTTATACCTGTCTCTCCCAAAACTTTCCACACTTCGATTGGTATATTGTCTGGGCCTACTGCTTTTCTATGTTTCATCTTCTTCAAAGCTACAACCACTTATTCCTTCCGGATTCCACGATAAAAAAAGTAGTTTCTACACTCTTCTGAGTTACTCAACTCCCCTAAAGAAGCACTCATTTCATGTCCTTCATTGAAAAGATTATGAAAATAACCTTTCCATCTGTCTTTAACCGCGTTCTCTGTAGCAAGAACCTTTCCATCCTCATCCTTAATGCACCTCACTTGGTTTAGGTCCCTTGTCTTCTTTTCCCTTACTCTAGCTAGTTTATAGATATCCAACTCTCCTTCTTTGGTATCTAGTCGCTTATACATATCGTCATAAGCCGCTAACTTAGCTTCTCTCACAGCTTTCTTCGCCTCTTGCTTCGCATTTCTATACCTTTCACCATTTTCATCGGTCCTATCCTTGTATAAGGTTTTACAACATTCCTTCTTAGCCTTCACCTTTGCTTGTACCTCCTCATTCCACCACCAAGATTCCTTTTGGTGTGGGGCAAAGCCCTTGGACTCTCCTAATACCTCTTTTGCTACTTTTCGGATACAACTAGCCATGGAATCCCACATTTGATTAACTTCCCCCTCTCTATCCCACACACACTGGGTGATTACTTTCTCTTTGAAAATGGCTTATTTTTCTTCTTTTAGATTCCACCATCTAGTCCTTGGGCACTTCCAAGTCTTGTTCTTTTTTCTCACTCTTTTGATATGTACATCCATCACCAACAAGCGATGTTGATTAGCCACGCTCTCTCCTGGTATAACTTTGCAATCTTTACAAGTTATACGATCCCCTTTCCTCATTAGAAGAAAATATATTTGTGTTTTTGACGACCCACTCTTGTAGGTGATCACATGTTCTTCTCTCTTCTTAAAGAAGGTGTTGGCTAAGAAGAGATCATATGCCATTGCAAAATCCAAGATAGCTTCCCCATCCTCGTTTCTCTCCCCAAAACCATGGCCACCATGAAAACCTCCATAGTTGCCTGTCTCCCTGCCCACGTGTCCATTTAAATCTCCTCCTATAAATAACTTCTCCGTCTGAGCAATTCCTTGCACCAAGTCTCCAAGGTCTTCCCAAAATTTCTCCTTCGAACTCGTATCCAACCCTACTTGAGGTGCGTACGCACTAATCACATTGATAAGTTATTGTCCTATTACAATCTTGATTGCCATGATTCTATCTCCTACCCTCTTGACATCTACAACATCTTGTGTCAAGGTCTTGTCCACGATGATGCCAACACCGTTTCTCGTTCTATTTGTGCCCGAATACCATAGTTTAAACCCTGAGTTTCTAGATATATATATATATATATATATATATCAAATGGCCCCTAAATGCTATTAAAAATCTCAAAAATTAACAGGAAACTAAAACAAATTAGAATTTATTCATGGTTTCGCAATTCCCAGCCGGGTAAACTGGTGGCCGTTGTAAGAGAGGGCCTCCAGCCGGATAAACATTTTCGAGTTATATGATATTTGTATAGCAAAAATACTTTAATAGCAAGTGCGCGTGAGTGAAGAAATTGAACTTACTTATATTCTTTCGAATCCCAACCGGAAAAATTGCAGGCTCTGGGAAGAGCGGACCTCCAGCTCTGCACCTCCTTCACGTCAACGTTAGAACGACCTTCATGTTTAGCAAAAGCTTCTGCAAAACTTCCCTCGAGTTTACGAATATTGGACGGATCGACTTGGTAGAAAATGGGGAATACAATCTGGTTCTTGGAATGGTTGCATTCCAAGATTTCCACGAGTTCTTTCAAGCACCATGTGGATGAAGCATAGTTTTCAGAGAAAACTACAATCGAAATCCTTGACTCTCGAATCGCTGTCAGGAGCTCGGAAAGGCGGTCGCCTTTTCTGAGGTCTTCGGCATCAATGAACGTGTTGATTGGTTTCTGACGCAGAGCTTTGTAGAGATGGCTGACGAAGCCCGTGCGAGTGTCTTCCCCTCTAAAATTGATGAACACATCGTATTCCCAACCAAGGCAAGAAGAAGAAGAAGAAGCAGCAATTAATCGATCGCACCTGGGCAGCGATGATCGAGCAGCTTAAGACTAAGAGAATTGTAAGTACAGAAACACTCAATAGATCTACAAATTGGATCACCAGAAATTAGTCAATGAGTCAATGCAAAAGGGAAAAGGGCAATTATGCTTTTTGCGTTTTCACATCTTCTTCAGGAAATTTCGGTGTGAAAGGAATCCGCATACTTTTGATTTTTCAACCCAAGAAAATGCGAAGAAAGGGGACAAAGTAGTAAATTTAATCTACAGTTGCCTACCCAACAACCTCTTGATTTAATATATATTTAATTAGGAAAAGTAGTTTAGAGGAAGGATGGTATCTCCTTTTCTTCTCTCTCGATCAGTCAATCTTCCCGCGTGCGATTTAATCATGATTAAAGCTAAGCTTAATCTTAGATCGTATTATTTAGGTCTAATTGGATTCTTAATTCTTGTTGTGATATAGTAGTTGGAAGATTAAAAAAAATTATGATTTAAATGTTTGTGGTGAAGTCTGTTACGATTTAGTTTCAAACTTGAAAATTTCGTTAACTCCGTTAATTATTAGCACATGAGACTCACAAATGAAACTAAAAATATAAAGTTAGCCTCACATGTAATCTTCACGTGCTAACAATTAAAAGAGAGTTCCGTTTTAGCTTAATATATGTGACTCACGTGTTAATAATTAACGGAATATTAACAAAAATTTTAATTTTAAGCATAAATTCAAATAAACTTCACCACATAAGCTTAAATTCTAATTTAGATATCTTCTAACTATCTTATCACCATAAAAATTATAATCAAATTAAACTTATTATTTATTTATAAATGCGTAATTAAATCACAAAGTGTTGAATGAAAGGGAGCACTCCAAATGATGAAAGATGTGTGATATCCACACATCTTTTTTTTTACTTTTTACACATCGTTTTAATTTTCGACTGTCGGATCGAATTAATTGAAGAAAATCAAAGGATAAAAATCAACAAAGGGTGTGCAAGAAGTAAAAATGAGTGTGTGGATAGTCATCCCATGAAAAGCGGGAGCATCGAAAGCTATCTCCGTTTCTTGTTGTCTATTTGTCTTCTTTTGGCAGATAGCTCCTAGGGACCGGCCTATTTTCCACAGCTGGTTATAGGACTCAGTTACTATAGAAGGAGTGTTTTGTTGTAATTCAATATCGATGGAAATCCAACATAATCTTTTTCAAATTTTTGTGAGGATTTTGGGGTGTACGTAAATTGATTATGTTCATCGTATATTATGTGACCATTTTTTATCAAATACTATTTGTGTTTCATTTTAAATAAAATAATTTAAAATAATTTTTAACTGCAAGATGTACAATGAACGGATATAATTCACAAATCTCCAAAATCCTTACAAAAAAATCCGAAAAAGATCCAAATTCAATGGAAATAAGCTAATTTTGAATCAAATTACATTACTTTATTTTGTAAATAAATTAATTTTGAATCGAACAACATTCATTTATTATGTAAGTAATTCATTTTGTATGTATCATCATATATATTAGGCACATTTTATCATAGGTGATTTTGTGAAAAATTAATAAAAAGTTACAATATTAACAATAGATCAATAATATTTATGTTAATTATAAATAGGTTAACCATATGTTGTGATACTTAAATACATTTAAAATAAATAAAAATTACAAAATCTGACATCCACTGCGACGTAGGAGCCACGGTGCAGCCCAAACTTTGCAGATAAGAAATCTGGTAATTCACAGCATGACAAACAAATTACTGGGTCTCCTGACCATCGTTGATGCCAATGTGTGCACAAGGAAAGGAGTAAGGTAATCAAATGCGTTAGTCTTGTGTACCTGTTTCGGTGTTGGTTTGGATGAACCCATTGAGTTCTCGATCCTTAACTTCTGGAAATGCTCCTGAAAGCATAAATATATGTACGGATTTAAACCAATGACAAATGGACATAATTTACGGACAATGATTGAAGAAAATACAGATATAAACGCCTCAGTATTCCATTGACGAAAGTTCTAGATTTGATGAATCAAAAGTCCCACGTTGAGACTGCGTTAAGGCAAATGGTTCTCAAAACCTGTTTTTCCCTCATCAAATGAGCGC